GCAGCGGATTTCAGGCCAAGCTGAGGCCTTCCGACATTGTGTTAACAGACTTTCAAAACTCCAGAGTGTGTGTTAAGGGGGAGGCCACCCTTAATGTACAGTATAAGGATTTTGAAGGTCCACTAGATGTAATAGTAGTAGGGGGTGAACGAAGATTGGTTTGAGGCCTTGGGAATACATGTTACAGGGCTCAATAGCTTGCAAACAATAGACCTACAAGAAGTCTGCAAAGAATTTGCAGATGTTTTCAGCCCACAGCTGGGCACGTACAAAGGACCCCCTGTGTCACTGAAGTTAGACCCCTCTGTCAACCCTATTAGAATTAAAGCAAGAAGGGTCCCTTTTGCTTTGAAAGGTAAAATTGACACTGAATTGGACAAATTGATTCAGCAAGGAGTTTTAGAACCTGTCGACTCCAGTCCGTGGGAGACCCCCATTGTCATGCCTCTTAAGGCAAATGGGGACATTCGCATCTGTGCAGATTACAAATGCACTCTGAATAAGGCATTGCAGCAACATGCCTATCCTGTTCCCATGGTCAGTCATATTCTGGCCTCCCTCAAGGGGGGGCGTGTCTTTGCAAAGCTTGACCTAGCTCAGGCGTATCAACAGCTGCCTGTTGATGATGATGCTGCTGTAGCACAAACCATTGTGACCCACAGGGGAGTGTTCAAGGTAAAGAGGTTACAATTTGGAGTAAATGTGGCTCCTGGAATTTTCCAAAGCATAATGGAAAACACACTACAGGGTATACCAGGGGTTTGCCCCTATTTTGACAATGTCTTAATTGCTGGAGACTCTACACACAACTTAGCTGAGAGATTAAGGGCTGTCCTGCTGAGGTTCAGGAAAACGGGCCTCAAACTTAAGAAGGACAAATGTAAAATTGGGGTGCCTTCTACAGATTTTCTGGGATTCAAAATTGATGCTACCGGGATTCACCCTGCTGAATCCAAATTGAAAGCCATTATGCATGCTCCTAGGCCACAGGTCGGCAACCTGCGGCTCCGGAGCCGCATGCGGCTCTTTGAGCCTTCCCCTGTGGCTCCCAGCCTCCTCTGCCTTTGCAGAGAGAGACAGAGACAGAGAGAGGCAATTGCACTTCCCTGCTTCTCTCTCTCTCTCTCTCTCTGTGTGTCTGTGTGTGTGTGTGTGTGTGTGTGTGTGTAAAAGAGAGTGCACTCACAGTGTTCTCCGAGGAGCTGAAAAGCTTTCTGGGCGGAGCTCCTCCCTTTGCTGCGTCTCTGAAGGAAGCAGGAAGCAGGAAGGGCAGGAGAGAGCTAGCTAGCCCAGCTAGGCTGACTCAGGAATTCTGGGAGTTGAAGTCCATGAGTCATAAAAGAGACGAGGTTGCCTACCCCGGAGGTTGTTGGACAACAGCTTGAAGCTTGCCAGGTGAGCAGCAGATAGGAGGGGGGGGGAGAAAGAGAGAGAGAGAAAGAGAGAGAGAGAGGGGAGAGAGAGTGGGGGAAGAGGAGTGGCAGACCAAGGGCAGATAGAGAGGGAGGGGGAGAGAGACCCTTTTGACATCTAAAATGAAGATAACACTGCATATATCCTTTTTTTATCTGTGTGTGTATGTAATTTTATTCTCTTAAAGCATTCTCTTGGTGATCATTGTTTTAATAGTATGGATATTCCCAAGAGTCATATTTTTACTTTTATTTTTAATGTATATATGTGTGTGTGTGTGTGTGTGTGTATACACACACACACACACACATACACACACCTATAATAAAGGTAAAAAAGGATATATGCAGTATTATCTTCATTTTAGATATCAAAAGGGTTTTGCGGCTCCCAGTGTTTTGTTTTTGGTGGGAAACGGGTCCAAGTGGCTCTTTGAGTGTTTTGGGTTGCCTACCCCTGTCCTAGGCCAAAGTCCAAGGCCGAACTACAGGCCTTTCTGAGCCTTCTGAACTTTTACAACTCCTTCCTTCCAAACAAGGCGAGTGTAGCCGAGCCTCTTCATAGGCTCCTGGACAAACAGGCAGTGTGGCAGTGATCACAAAAACACGAAGAATTAATTATAAGAATCCTTCCTGTGGGAAAATGTTTTTTGTTTTGAATTCTATTTTTAAAAAGTGGTAAGAAACCCTAAACAAGGGGAACCAGAAGAACCTGAAGATTACAATTAAAGAAGACTTCAGTTTGATTTATTAATACAGAATGAAGCAAAATATTTAAACATTTGACTATTGAAGGATATGGACTCAGAAGTCAATTTTAAAAGTGTCTGCCTCTAGATTGACTCATAAGATTGACACTAATCTGAAAGTGGATTTAAAAATGACAGATTTAAGAATGATAAGGAAAAAGATGCTACAATGGACATACAAAAGAAACCATATGATATCTTAATAATTAAAAGGGATATTGTAGGAGGAGACCTGGCAGAATCGAAGGGATTAAAAGAGGCATCAGTTTAGAATAATTACATTACATCATTACAACTGCCACCACTCTCTCAAATGCCATTGGCCTTTATCTATCCCTAACCAGGTGCTGGCTATAATTTGAGAAGATTCCCGGGCATAGGCTTGGTAATAAATCATTTAATTTGAACCTTCACATGTGGGCCTGGTTTTTTGTGCCTGACAGATACAAATCAAGAGAGTGGCCTGGACAATTTTCCTGTATTGGGTTTACAGAAGAGGCTTGTTAAAACTTTGAAGTATTTTGTGAGAAGAAAAAATGAAATAAAACTTTAGGACATTGGAAAGGTGCAAAGATCAAGATTGTTAAAAAAAAGAAAAGCAATATAAAATTGGTTTATTTGATCAAGGTTAAAATAGGTAACATTTAACCCTTTTGATCAAGGTTAAAATAGGTAACATTTAACCAGAACTGAAATGGTAACACTTTAAGGATTTTGTTTATAGATAAGAAATGGGATATGGGAAGAAATTATTTGTTTTATTTTGGGAGGTGATTAAGTTAGTAAAATTATTTATACAGTACTTGAAGGGAAGCCATTTCTTTATTTTCTTATTCTTTACTATATTCTTATTTTTTCTATTTTTCCTGTGCTTTCTATTTTTTATCCTTTTATTTTTTTAGTTTGTATTAGTTTTTCTCTTTTTAATTGTCATTTTTAATAAAATTACTATGGAAAAAAGGGGAAGTAGAAAAAGTCTGCTTTTAGCAGAGACTTGATTTGCATGCTGAAAGCGCCAGATATAATCACTGCCTCTCTGTGATTGGAAGTGTGCCACGAAGAGCCATCTGCCAGCAGAGTAGGTAACAGAGACCTGGAGGGATAAGCAGTCTGACTTGCTTCTCCAGCCTTGGCATCTAATAATAGACTAATCTGGAAATAGCTGCATTACGAATAAACAGAATGGGAACTGTGCCTCTTTTATTACATTATAAAAAATATTTTGTGTTTGTATTCATACCCAAAACTGAATGAATGGAAACACCCTTGTGCCGAGGTGCCAAACAGCTAATCTTTTGTTACAGGATGAAAAGGAGCAGTTCTCCTTCATTTTATTTACTGTGCTGATTGTTCTGCATATCCAACCCAGAGCCCTACATAATGTACAATGGAAACTCTGGTTCAAGCAGGCCACTGCTCTTATCTGCCTAGCTGCAGGGCTGGATCTTCTACCTCAAATCATCCTTTGGCCTAGGGATAAATAGCTATCGGTAGATGGCTTTTTCTGATCCATACCAAAGGAATTGATGGTTTCTCTCTCTTCAGTTACCTCCTCCTTCCCCCCCCCCCCATCCCCAGACAAGGGCCTTTCAGTATTCCTTAGAACAGGGATGTCAAACTGCCGGACTGCGGGCCGGATGCGTCATGGCGAAACCGCACCCACCCCATTGCCACCAATGGAAAAAAAGTTGTGATGCATTGTGACACGTCACGTGACATTGTGAGTTTGACACCCCTGCCTTAGAACCTCATGACCATAAGATACAAAGGTAATCTCATCATTTCTCGTAACAACCTGCTTGTCTGGCATCAGTGTCTATTGCAAGTTATAAAAGAAGGCAGAAAGATCATTAAAAATCTCATTGACACAACCACATTTGTTTCTTTCCAAATACTCTACCCTTTTTATTATTTTTAAGGAAGCTATAAAAGAACTTTCATGGGAACCAAGACTGGAGGCCATTTGGTTTAATGAGAAGTTTCAACAGCAGCCTGGAAGAAGAAAACCAGGGCTTTTTTTCTCACAGAACGCCCAGAACAGAGTTCCGGCACCTTTTTTGGATGGAACCTTGTAGGGTAGGCAAGGCGGGTTGTATGACGTGTGTGAGTTCCAGCACCTTTTTTTTTTTTTTTTTAGAAAAAAAGCACAGAAGAAAACTATGTCAACAGCTCTAAAGAAAACCTATCTTTCTGCATGGCCTGAGTGAGGAAAGTTAATTTATGTCTGCTGGGTACACCAATTCATCTTTATTGCAGAGGAAGAATCTAAAAGATCTGTTCTTTTGTCCTTCATTAGTCATCCCATGATTTAATAGAAAGTACAGGACTCTGTATTTGAAGTAATGGCTTCCTGTTTCACAAACTCCATGGGATGTATTAAAAAATCCACCACACACCATGACTGCATTTTCAGGTGTGTTGTGATCTGTAGGAGGCAAGATAAGAAACAATGGATGGAAACTAATCAAGGAGAGAAGAGAATGAATATATATTCATATATATATGAATATATATTCATTCAGGGCTTTTTTTCTTATAGAACGCTCAGAATGAAGTTCCGGCACCTTTTTTGGATGGAACCTTGTAGGATAGGCAAGGTGGGTTGTATAATGTGTGTGAGTTCCGGCACTTTTTTTATTTTTACAAAAAAAGCACTGCATATATTTATATATCACAGAATCTCTGCTTGTGAGATCATTACACTATCTGTTTTTAAGTGGTATGCTAATCCATGTAGGAAATTTGCTATTTAGAAGAGACCCACCCCTTCCTGCATTTTAAGTAGTGTTTCAAGTGGTTTCTGTGCCAGGGAGAGTGTAAAGTAATACACCTCAGCAACTAAGCTTCTACTAGCTGTCCAGGTATGCAAGGGGTGTGGCCCAGCTAGGAGGTTTGCTCGTAAAGGGACCAGTAAGTCATTCAAGTAGTTCATAATTTCTACGTGCCACTTCAGATGTTCCTAGCTTTGTGTCCTTAGGAGAAATGATAGAAGCGGAACCAAAGAGCTGAGAAGACCAGGTGGTTTTGCGCAGTAAGTAACTTCAATAATATGGGGATGTCCAAGATAAATTCCTTGGGATAGGTCTGATGGGTACGACCAAAAAGACCTCTTTGTGAATCTCTCACAAAGAGATTTGGGGAACAGAGTAAGGTGGTTAGGAACCTCACCACCACTTCCAGGGACCTGGAATCTGGGCTTTGAATTGAGATCAAAGTAGTTTTCCTTCACCCCGTGCTTCCAAGTAGTTGAAAAGTGCAGATTTGAGTACATCGCCTATCTTTCTGGAGGGCATCAGATTTGAGGAAAACTGATCAGAGCCATCAGCATTTCAACAGAAGTGGACATCACTTCAGAAGCCACGGGCAGTGCTTAATATATCTAGCAGGATTTTCAGCCACAATGGAGAGTCTAATGATACCCAAATAAGGGTGGAATAGGCAGGCAGGAGGAAGGCTGAAGCCATATAGAATCATACAATCACAGGCCTGGAAGGGACCTTTGAAGTCTTCTAGTCCAACCCCTTACTCAAGGCAGGAGTCATACGATCATATCATATATATCAGCCAGGATGTCCCTTTTTCCCTGAATTTGGGGTTGTTGTTTTTTTAAATGTGCGGTGCGGTTTTGGGATGTTCTCTATTGCAAAATTGTGAGAACAGTGCTATCAGTGGTTAGCAATTATAGCTAGAAGAGTTACCAAAAAAGGAATATATTTGTAACTCAGGGTTTAAATGAGGCGTCCTTGGTGCTCTCTGAGCTTGGTTGGTTTTTTTGCAGATGTTTCATTACCCAAACTAGGTAACATCTTTTGGGTAATGAAACATCCGCAAGGAAACTGCCAAGCTCAGAGAGCCCCTCGGCTAAAAAAGGTTCTGTGTTCACAGTTTGTCCATTCCACATTAGAGGATAATACTCTGCGTTCCCTGAGAAGGGCACTTGAATCACGGAAACTTAATCAAAAGCTGACTCTGAAGTTGAGCAACCAGGAACTCAAAGAAAGATTGAAACGAAGTGTGATTGTTGCAGTCTGATAATTCATTGTGTAAGGTGGGGATTGAGCTGGTCAGGAGCTCCTAATGTCCTCTCTTGATTGAGGCTGTGGAAAGTTATAATTCAGTCACAATCACACCACAGGGTACAGTATTGCTCCTATCTACCATTTTGAACAGATTAGTCCTAAAACCCTGGAGCTGGAACTGAACCCACTACCAAGACCAACAATTTGCATGTAGAAAAATGACCGATCCTTAAAACTCAGAGAAAGTGTGTGCGCATGGCATTGTGCGTTTGAACAAGGAACAGAAAAAAAGTGCTCCTGATAAATGGGCGTTCTTGGAGTTCTCACACTGCGTACTGCTTTGTTTGCACCCATGTTGGCCAAAAGGCAGGATATCCATTTTAAAAATGAGAAAAGAGGCTAAGAAACAAGACTGGGGAGTAACACCAAAATGCACACCGTAGCCTTAAATTCTCTGAAGGAAGATACAGATAGTCCTCAGCTTACGACCACAATTGAACCCAGCATTTCTGTTTCTAAGTGAGACAGTTGTTAAGTGACTTTTTACTCATTTTACAATCTTCCTTGCCATAGCTGTTAAGTGAATCACTGCAGTTGTTAAGTTAGCGATACGGTTGTTAAGTGAATCTGGCTTCCCCATTGACTTTACTTGTTAGAAGTTCGCAAAAAATGATCACATGACTCCGGGACACTGCAGACCACCATAAATACATGCCAATTGGTACGTATTTGCGTTATGATCATATGACCATGAGGATGCTGCAATGGTCGTAAGTGTGAAAAATGGACATGACACTTTCTTCAGTGCCATTGTAACTTTGAATGGTCACTAAAAGAATGGTTGTAAGTGAGAGGACTACTGGTAATAGGAACTAAAACTAAATGTGGAGAGCAAAACTGCAGTAAATGATGTTGGGAAAGTCCACACTGTGTGGTCAAAGGGGTTTTGTTACTTTTGTGGGTTCATTACAACCATCCTTGGATTAGGGTGAATAGATTTTGGGCATAATATCCAGAACTCCTAATAAAGAATCAATATCTAGCCATGGTTTAACAATGATTCAAACCTCCTTTGGTCAAAGGATTACCATTCTATGCTTTTTTATTACCTTGCATGCCAGAAAAAGATGTAGCATCTGTGTCATTGGAAGTACAGGGAATCCTTGACTTACGACCACAATTGAGCCCAAAATTTATGTTGCTAAATGAAACATTTGTTAGGTGAATCTTGCCACAGCTGTTAAATGAATCACTGCAGTTGTTCAGTTAATGACATGGTTGTTAAGTGAATCTGGCTTCCCCATTGACTTTGGGTGTCAGAAAATCGCGAAAGATAATCCCATCACCCCAGGACACTGCAACTGTCATAAACACGACTTGCCAAGCGTCTGAATTTTGATCATGTGACCATGGGGATGCTGCAATTGTCGTAAGTGTGAAAAGAGGTCCTAAGTCACTTTTTCCAGTGCCATTGTACCTTTGAACTCTCACTAAATGAACTGCTGTTAAGTTGAGGACTAGCTGTACACCACAGTCACTTTGAACATTTGTTCCTAAGGGTGTTCAAGCACAGGAAAGATGGTTGGCTGTTCTTTAAAATACGTCTCATCTGGATAGCTAGCAGAAGAAAGAGGAGATGGTTAAGCAGTGGCCCTTCTCCACCCTGAACCTGAAACCCAAAACATCACCTAACTGAAAAAAATCAACAACTCCCATCATCACCAACACTTCTATATTAATTATTGCTCATAGTTGCTAGATCTGTGTGGACAAATCTGTGGCTGGATCTTTTATGTAGATTTTGCAAAGAACTGACAGTCCAGCTCCCTTTTCTCTCCTTGCCTCAAGTAAAGAGTATTTTAAGCCTTTACTTCAGGCTTTTAGCCAAAAGCACCTTGTGCAAATTTCTCTTTCCCCAAAGAACATTTGTGGTATAAAACAAGGGAGTGGAGTGGTGGCATTGGTCAGCCATTGAAGAAAGTGGCAACCCACCTTTAATAAACAAAGTTGTTACCCCGTGTCATGAAGAGGTGTGGCAATTTGCAAGATCTTAGGAAGAAACCGTGCTAAGTTATTTTCCTTTCTTTAACAGGCAGGCACACAAAAGTACACACCCTTCCAAAAAACGCCTGATGCATTGTTTTCTTATTTGCAGCATATTGCGTACATACATATGGTTTTTATTGAAATTATCATATAAATACAATGAAAACAAATATAAAAGGGAAATGGGGAAGGGGAAAGTGGGGAAAAGAGAAGAGTGGTGTGAGGGAAAAAAGAAGGAAAAACCCCATTAACTTCCAACTTTTTCAGCACAGATAAAACACAGCCTCAACTTTTACTTTTACATACTTAGTATATACTAGCCATTTCTATAACAACCAAACGTATCTAATTAAGCCTTGTTTTTAACCATGTCTTAAATAGCAATAGCACTTAGACTTATATACCGCTTCACAGTACTTTACAGCCCTCTCTAAGTGGTTTACAGAATCAGCCTATTGCCCCCAACAATCTGGGTCCTCATTTTACCAACCTTGGAAGGCTGAGTCAACCTTGAACCTGTAAGGATCGAACTGCTTGCAGTTGGCAGTCAGCAGAATTAGCCTGCAGTACTGTGTTCTAACCACTGCTAAATGGTGGCTAGTTGTTAGAATACTCATAATTTATTGCTAAATGGCACCATTAAAGACACAATTGCAAAAGTCTACTGATACCTTTGCAGGCTTTCTCACTAGTAAATAGATAATAAATGCATGCAGCAAGCCTCTCCCCCAAAAGACAACAGGGGTTGGTCTGATAAACTAAGAGTGGGTGTGGTGAGAAACAGATCTTAGTTACATACCTTCCAGATACTCTGATATGGATTAAAATCCTCATAGGTAACTTATGCATTGAAAAGTTATGCTATAAATTTTTCCTTAATGGATCGACTTCATTTCGTGTTAAGCCTTTGTACAATTTGTTTGTTTTGGCTGCCTGATTATGTGAACTCTACCAACTCTGATTTCTACACTATGGTTTACAGTTTTGCATGTTGGTGGAAAACAAGCAGTGATTTTGAAATCATGTTTTATAGTTTTGTATTGTTGATGCAAACTCAGCCAACTCTGGTTTCTAAAGCATAGCTTACAGTTTTTCATGTTGGTGTGGAACCAGGTTACGATGGTTTTGTCAGTTAATGTACAAATAATCAAATAATAGTTTAGAGTGAGCTTTTAAAATAAACCATTGACTGCTTTTTACTCAATACTATTACTGTTGTTTAAGGCACTGCTTTCCAACCTTGGCAAATTTAAGATGCCTAAACTTCCATTTCTGGAATTCTCCAGCCAACATACTGCTAGATTTTGGGAGTTGAAGTCCAGATGTTGGCCAGGGGATTCTGGGAGTCGAGGTCCACAAATGCTGCCTAGAGGATTCTGGGAATTGAAGTCCCATATTTTAAACTTGCTGGAGTTGGGAAACACTGGTTTAATGTGTGGCATTTCCAAAATGGGTGAGCTTTAAATGTGTTGGACTCCAGTGTTTACTCCTCATGGGAACTGCACACCAACAAACTCAGAGGGTTCAAGTCACAAAAGGGTGATCTAATGGATTCCAGCAATGAGGAATTAATTATCTGTTAGTAAAGTAGAGTAATGTTACTGTATTCTGGGGAGAAACAAAAGGCTATTTCAAGTAATCTGTTTTACTGTGTTTCCTAGGCAACAGTAAATTTGGGCCAGGCCCCACATCAGCAGTACTGCTAAATGAACTGTTATGTTAAGCCATGGGGTATGTTTCATCAAGTTTTTGGGAACAACAAACAACTTATTAGCTGGGTTTGTACAAATTCAACTGTGAACTATTGTTTACAAAGTACAATGCTTCAGTCAAATGCATCAACTTGAAACCAAGCAAATTATGTTATGGATTGGCCTATTGTGTGAACTGAGGCTACATTTGACCAAAGCTGACCGAAAACAAACTCAGAGTTTCGTTCATTGTGTAAAGTCAAGCCAGATACAATTTCTCAGTCTAACCTACCATCCAGAACTGTGGTAAAATTAAAAGGAAAGCTGTATAAGGCACCCTGAGCCTTTTGGAGCATAAAGTAACATGTAGATATGTAACTGAAGAAATGTAACTAGCCCATAAATCAATACAACTGACAGTTAATGAAGACATTAAAGAAAGTGGAAACGAACAATATATCTTTTTGGCACTGGCATTTCTTGTTTTCCTCAGACTGGGCAATCAGAGTTTTCCAGGGGAAAAAGTCTTGGATTTAAATTTATGTAGCATGTTAGTCCTCAGATATGAAAAATTGATTTATTTATGTTTTATTTACATTTATTTATATCTCCCTTTATTATTTTTACAAATAACTCAAGGACGTGAACATATTTAACACACCTTCCTCCTCCTATTTTCTCCACAATAACAATCCTGTGAGGTGGGTTGGGCTGAGAGAGAGAGAGAGGGACTGCCCCAAATTTACCTTGCCGGCTTTCATAGCTAAGGCGGGATTTGAACAGTCTCCTACTTTCTAGCCTTGTGCCTTAACCACTAGACCAAGCTACCATGCAAAGTGCTTCACCAAATCTTGCAGTTTCCAGATTGAATTTTCCATGAATATTATTTAGGCAACTTCAATCCAGATGAAATGGACTTGGTAGGTAAAGATTGGGGCACAGCACTGAACAGAAAATAATTCCCGAAAAGCAAAAATCTATTGAATTTCTATTTGGAACTTTTGGTACTGTGGTTTGAGTTTGGTTTTATTCTGAATGTTGACACCATAATGTTCTTGCAGTGGGAGATCAAGGATTGGCTGCTGTTCTTTTAGCTGTGAGACAAAAGCCACCTGTGCTTGGAGAGACTGCTCATTTTCTTCTCTTCCTTTGTGAAAAGGCTGTGGTGTGAATTTCAGATATAGTTGCTGACATCATGAGTGATTCAGGAAGGTAAGTGTGTAAGAAAAAAAGAATGTATATCTTAATACCAGCATGGCTGGCTCAGAAATTCTGGGAATTGAAGTCCACGAGTCATAAAAGTGCCAAGGTTGCCTACCCCTGGTCCAAGGCATTGCGTGGTAAGAGGTACCCCTGTGATGGAATCTGATTCTGTATCTGATTCTTTCTGGTTACTTCTTTTGGTGAGATCCATTCTGTGAAAACTAGCCTTGGTTTTCAGTATCAGAGAAGATCTCACAATGTGTGCCCTATTCCCCAGAAGAAGTGTGATAAAACACTTTTGTTTAGTAAATATTTAGGATCTGGGGGAAAAACTTCTAAATGCTATCTGGAGAACTATCACACATTGGAATAGATAAGAGAATTGTTTATAGCAGGGCTCTCCAACCTTGGCAACTTTACGACTGGTTTGTAGCACAGACCTTCCCCAATTAATCCAATTTTCAGAGGTTTGGAGAGCTCTGCTATAGTCAGATAGCTGTCAGTATGTTGGTGAAGATTCTCAGTCATCCAGGTAGAGTTGTCTGGAAGTTGAGTCATAGCAACTGGGCTTGTTTGTTTGTTTGTTTGTTTGAAACATTTTGCTGCTTATCCAGGTAGCTTAAGAAGAAGACTGAATACGCTACTTGAATAAGCAGAGAAATGTTTCAAACCAAAAGAAAAAGAAAAGAAGTCCAGTTGCCATGACTCAACCTCCAGACAATAGCTATCAGCCTTCCCAGGTAGTCTAGACCAGACATGTCAAACTCGCAATGTCATGTGATGTCACACAACGTATCGGGACGTTTTTGCCATTGCTGGCAATGGGGTGAGCGCAGCTTCCGGATGATGTATCTGGCCCATGGGCCGGAAGTTTGACACCCCTGGTCTAGACAGAAAATATGTCCAGATGAACTAATTTTACTTTATTGTAAGGCTACATTAGCAGAATCTTGCAAGTCCGAAAGTACAAATTTCTCATTTCTTTTACCATGCTTAGGTTAAGGAGTTTTTTTTTCCCTCAGTTTCTTTTTCGACCTGTTATGCAGCCAAGGGTTATACCATTTCTTATCTAATTGTTCCCTAAGCAGCATCTCTCCCCTCCTTTATTTAATTTTTCAGCAGTGACAACTGCTGTTTTTGGAAAGCTTTGGAAGCCAAGATCTGATGAAATTAGGGAACATGGCTCATGGATTTCATTGTTTCCTTCTTCAGCTGGGTGATCTCTAGGTACATTGGGTTATAAATCTCATCATCCCCAGCTAGCAGTGTGCTTGGGATTGATAGGAACTGCAGCACTGTATATTGAACACTGTATACCAACTCTGCAGAGCTCCAGGTTGGGGAAGATTTATTAAGATCTTCACACTTTTCCCCAGAACCTGAGTAAGTATTCTCAGGTGCTCACCTCTCTAAGGTAATACAAAGCTATAGGAGACCTCTAAAAGACCCAGGAGAGCTCTCCTTGTTAGAAATTTAAGCAACCCTAATTTCTGCTAGGATGTTAGCACGATTGAAAACAATCCCAGTAATCTTCATTAGCAACTTCATTGTTCCTTGCTTAGTCACTGCCATTTCCTGTCCATCTTGCTGGGAAGCGAAGCTTTTGATCATCATAATAAATAGGAATGGCCATTAACTCAGATCAGAGTGTGCTCAGAGTCAATATTGTACTCTGCTCTCATTCCAGTAGCCTTTGGTAAGTCCAGTGGCACAGCTACTAGTACTATTCCTTCCTCTTTTCCGCATTGACAAAGGGTGTGTGTCATTGGGACTATTATTCAAATGCAAGTTTGAAATTAAGGCTTAAGAGCTACTGGTTGTGGTAAAAACCATCCAGATGGATGGGTGTAACCTTGCCTGGGGCCCACTGAGGGTTAAGCAACATGCTATTGTTTTAATGTCTTTTAAATTGTTGTAATTGTTTTAGAATTTTAGAATTGTGAGCTGCCCAGAATCATTTGGTTGAGTTGAGCGGCTATAGAAATTGAATAAATAAATAAACAAATAAATAAATAAATAAAATCAAGTGGCACTAATAATAGTAAGGATCCCCAACCTTTACATACAGCTTGGTGGCCCTGCAGGAGAGAGGAGCAAGTTGAGCTCTGTGTGCACCAGCTTGCCGCACGGCCTAGTTTCAAATTGACAATGGCCCGGTAGTGGGCTTCCACTCAGGAGTTAGGGACCCCTGAATTATAGCATTGTTTTGGGGGATAAATTGTGGATTTTGTTGAAATACTGCAAGGGACATAGCTAGTAAGCCTCTGGGATTCTCAGAGAGCCTGGAAACCTAGCAAAGTTTGAGAAGACAGGGGATTTGGGCTGGAGAAGTTAGGTTGTCATCTGACTTTTCTATTTTGTCTCCCAGCTTATTTGGTGACGTTCACAAGCCCAGTGCCAGAACCATTTATGGTGAGTTTGGGACCATGGAAATATAACCAAGGGAACGTCTTTGTGTTGGGATGATTATTGGACTGAATAATTATTCCATCTTGGAGATCTACCATGCTTAGCAACTCACAATTCTCTAGTCTCATCAACCACAGGGCCCATCTCCTGCTACAATGCTTTATACCTGCAATCCCTTCTCTGGTTCCAGATACCTTATCTTACATACAGCTATCGATTCTGAGTGCAGAAATCCAGATAACGACTAGATGGCAGCAAAGATTTCTGCAGCCTAGGTCTAATCTAGCATTCCCTTTTCTCCTCGTGGTCTTCAAGTTTCTGATTTTATTATTATTATCATTATTGATCATCGCATAGCCAGCCAGATGTTCAGACTGGATTTGGCATTTTTGTCTACCTATCGAGACCATACCAAGGACCTGGGATAGGCAGATGTGAATGTTTGATGGTATTACAGATATTGTTGCAGGATGGAAGCAGTTCCTAGTAAGGCCGCCTTTTGCAATGGACTAATGGCGAATTTGTCAATGTGGTGTTCAAGTGGTGCTCCAGTTGTTTTGGGATCACACCCAAGATGCCTATTACTATTGTACTACCCTTGCTTGCCTTTGCCACAGTCTTTCTATTTCTATTATTATTATTATTATTATTATTACTACTACTACTACTACTACTATTACTATTTACACAACAATGTGAAATCACAGCTGCCAGTTTTTTAACTCGTATGGGCCTTCATACACATCAAGTTCTTCCTGAGAATCTAGGATATCATAATATATGTGTGGAACCAGGCAATGTGGCCTTTTGTAATTAACAGAGGGAACAAAATGTGATCCACTGGAGAAGGAAATGGCAAACCACTCCAGTATCTTTGCCATGAAAACCCCATGGACAGTACTAAAAGGCAAAAAGATATGACGCTGGAAGATGAGCCCCTCAGGTCGGAAGGTGTCCAATATGCTACTGGGGAAGAGCAGAGGGCTAGTACTAGTAGCGCCAGAAAGAATGAAGCGACTGGGCCAAAGCCGAAAGGACGCTCAGCTGTGGATATATCTGGTGGTGAAAGGAAAGTCCGATGCTGTAAAGATTTTTTCTCCATAGGGACCTGGAATGTAAGATCCATGAATCAAGGCAAGCTAGACGTAGTCGAAAAAGAGATGACAAGACTGAACATAGACATCTTCGGAATCAGCGAACTAAAATGGACAGGAATGGGTGAATTTAATTCAGATGACCATCAGGTACTGTGAGCAAGAATCCCTCAGAAGAAATGGAGTAGCCTTCATAGTCAATAAAAGAATAGGAAAAGCAATACTGGGATACAATCCCCAAAATGACAGAATGATCTCAATTCGAATCTAAGGCAAACCATTCAATATCACAATAGTCCAAATCTATGCCCCAACCACTGGTGCTGAAGAGGATGAAATTGACCAGTTCTATGAAGCCCTACAGCACCTTATAGAATTAACACCAAAAAATGATGTCCTTATCATCATGGGGGATTGGAATGCTAAGGTAGGAAGCCAAAAGATAACCGGAATAACAGGCAAGTTTGGCCTTGGAATACAAAATGAAGCAGGGCACAGGCTGATAGAATTTTGTCAAGAGAATACGATGGTCATAACAAACACTCTTTTCCAACAACCCAAGAGACGACTCTACACATGGACATCACCAAACGGTCAACATAGAAATCAGATTGTCTATGTGCTCTGCAGCCAAAGATGGAGAAGCTCTATACAGTCAGTAAAAACAAGACCGGGAGCTGACTGTGGCTTAGATCATGAGCTTCTTGTTGCAAAATTTAGGCTTAAATTGAAAAAAGTAGGGAAAAGCACTAGGCCACTCAGGTATGAACTAAATCATATCCCTGATGAATATACAGTAGAGGTGACAAATAGATTTAAGGAATTAGATCTGATAGACAGAATACCTGAAGAACTATGGATGGAAGTTCGCAACATTGTACAAGAGGTAGCAACTAAAACCATCCCAAAGAAAAAGAAATGCAAGAAAGCAAAATGGCTGTCTGAGGAAGCTTTGCAAATAGCTGAGGAAAGAAGGGAAGTGAAAGGCAAAGGAGAAAGAGAAAGATACACCCAATTGAATGCAGAATTCCAGAGAATAGCTAGAAGAGATAAGAATGCCTTCTTAAATGAACAGTGCAAAGAAATAGAAGAAAACAACAGAATAGGGAGGACCAGAGATCTCTTCAAGAAAATTGGAGATATGAAGGGAACGTTTCATGCAAAGATGGACATGATAAAGGACCAAAATGGCAGGGACCTAACAGAGGCAGAAAAGATTAAGAAGAGATGGAAAAACTACACAGAAGAACTATACAAGAATGAGCTTAACGTCCCAGATAACCACACTGAGATGGTCACTGACCTCGAACCAGACATCCTAGAATGTGAAGTGAAATGGGCCTTAGAAAATCTGAGCAACAACAAAGCTAGTGGAGGTGACAGTATTCCAGCTGAGCTATTCAAAATCTTAAAAGACGATGCAGTAAAAGTGCTACACTCAATTTGCCAGCAAATTTGGAAAACTCAACAGTGGCCACAGGATTGGAAAAGGTCAGTTTACATTCCAATTCCAAAGAAAGGCAATGCCAAAGAATGTTCAAACTATCGCACCATTGCACTCATTTCACATGCTAGTAAAGTTATGCTTAAAATCCTACAAGCTAGACTCCAGCAGTATGTGGATCGAGAACTACCAGAAGTACAGGCAGGATTTCGAAGAGGCAGAGGAACTAGAGATCAAATTGCCAACATACGCTGGATCATGGAGAAAGCTAGGGAGTTCCAGAAAAACATCTACTTCTGCTTCATTGACTATGCAAAAGCCTTTGATTGTGTGGATCACAACAAATTGTGGCAAGTTCTTAAAGAGATGGGAGTACCAGACCATCTCATTTGTCTCTTGAGAAACCTATATGCGGGTCAAGAAGCAACAGTGAGAACTGGACACGGAACCACTGATTGGTTCAAAATTGGAAAAGAGTCCGGCAAGGCTGTATACTGTCGTCCCTGCCTATTTAACTTATATGCAGAGCACATCATGAGAAAGGCAGGGCTAGATGAATCAAAAGTTGGAATTAAGATTGCCGGGAGAAATATCAACAACCTAAGATATGCAGATGATACCACTCTAATGGCAGAAAGTGAAGAGGAACTAAAGAGCCTCTTGATGCGGGTGAAGAAGGAGAGTGCAAAAGTTGGCTTGAAACTCAACATTAAGAAAACCAAAATCATGGCATCCGGCCCCTCAATTCCTGGCAAATAGATGGGGAAGAAATGGAGGTAGTGACAGATTTTATTTTTCTGGGCTCCAAGATCACCTCAGATGGGGACTGCAGCCAAGAAATTAAAAGACGCTCTCTGGGGAGGAAAGCTGTGGCAAATCTAGACAGTATACAAAAAAGCAGAGACATCACCCTGCCAACAAAAGTGCGTATAGTCCAGGCCATGGTTTTCCCAGTTGCAATGTATGGCTGTGAAAGTTGGGCTATAAGAAAGGCTGAGCGCAAAAGAATTGAGGCCTTTGAACTATGGTGCTGGAGAAGACTCCTGCGAGTCCCTTGGACTGCAAGACGTTCAAACCGGTCAGTCCTAGAGAAGATCAACCCTGACTGCTCTGTAGAAGGCCAGATCCTGAAGTTGAAATTCAAATACTTTGGCCACCTGATGAGAAGGAAGAACTCACTGGAGAAGGGACTAATGCTGGGAAACATTGAGGACAATAGAAGAAAGGGACGACAGAGAATGAGATGGCTGGATGGAGTCACTGAAGCAGTAGGTGTGAACTTAAATGGACTCCAGAAGATGGTAGAGGACAGGAAGACCTGGAGGAACATTGTCCATGGGGTCGCGATGGGTCGGACACGACTTTGCAATTAACAACAACAACAAGAGGGAAATGTTGTCAATGTACAGATTTCCTAAGTGCCATCCAATAATTTTTGTTATGACACCCATAACCTTTGGGTCATGGCACCAGTTTATACCATAATCTTTCAACTTTGATTTTGATACTTTGTGAAATTCTCCAATAATAATCATAATAATGATGGTGGGTCCATAAAATAAAGAAAGTAATAGAAAATGAAGAAGCTAAAGTGTTCTGGGACTTTAGAATTCAAACAGACAGGCACCAGCCACAGAATAAACCAGACTTAACAATAGTTGATAAAAATAGTCTGGACTGTGGACACGGCAGTACCTGAAGTCACTAGAATAGAAGAGAAAGAACTGGAGAAGATAACAAAATACAAAGACCTGCCAATAGAAACAGAACGACTGTGGCAAAAGAAAGCAAAGGTAGTACCAATAGCAACAGCTGCCTTGGGTGCAATCCCAAAACAATTGGAGCACCACTTGAACACTCTCGGCACTGGCAAATTCATCATCAGTCAATTGCAAAGGGCAGCTTTACTTGGAACAACTTACATCCTGTGACGATACTTCTAACACCATCAAACATCCACATCTGCCTATCCCAGATCCTTGGGATGGACATAATAGGCAGACAAAAATGTCAAATCCAGTCTGAACATCTGACACGTTTGGTTGCAACTAAACACAATCTTGTGATTATTTAATGTTATTAAAAATAACATCTATCTTAACTAGGTCACTGGGAAGGACTTGAGAGGTAGATTGAAATGCCAAATCCAGTTTAAATATTTGGCTGACTATGCAACCAACCAACCATAATAATAATATTATTATATGCTCCAGTAACTTCTTTTATTTATGTTTAGACTTATTCCTCCTTTTTTTTCCTTTGCTCTGTTAAATACTGTGACTCATTAAGAAAAAAAATGGTAATTGTCCAAAAAGTACTGTAAAATGCAAATCAGTTTCTCAGGTTGTACAGTATTTAATATTAGTACTTTAGTATAGTATTTAATATTAGTACTTGTTATGAAATTCAAGGAGTTTTCTTTCAACTGGTGCCAATTTTTAAAACTATGTCTATTACATTATCCCATGCTATATATTATAACATTATATCAACTTGAGATTTTACAGCATTTCCAATCCTACTTGATGGAATTGCTAAATAAATGTTATAAATAAATGAATTGCTTGTCTCTGAGTGATAATTCCCAAGATGATGTTACAGATAGTCCTCCATTTATGACTGGTCACTTAACAACCATTTGAAGTTATGACTGACTTCCACAAGGGAATTATGACCTGATTCCAAAGTTTCGACAACTACACAAACATGCAGGCGCGTGCACGTGTGCACGCATGCACACACACACACACACACCGCTGCAACTCGTATTACTTCCAGGTTTTGGCAAAACCAGCCCATAGCAAACTATTGGTTTGTTAAATGACTGTGGCGTTGGCTTAATGTATAATAGATTGTAAAATCAAAGCAGACATGTGAGTGACCCATTTTACAACAGTCATGACTTACCACTGTGATGGGCAAGCTCCATTGCCATCGAAAATTGAGGACTACCTATATAATGTCCTTTAAAGTTAATGCAGCTGAATAGGAATGAATAGCTGTATGTCTGTTATATATAGCCAAACTTTCTGAACCTGTGGGCAGTTCTGAACTTTTATGAGCAAAGCTCATAAAGTTATAAACACTCATTTACTAGATGGCAAGTGGATGAGGCTGTTCTACCATCTCTTCTAGTCTCTGTGATCACAATCCCTGACTCAGTTTATCTTAATGTTTTTGGTGGGGGCCATTTCTGTACAAAAGGCTGAGCTATATAAACTACAATATGCTTATTGATATCAATGGGATCTATGTAAGGCCCATTTGTTTATTTTTAATTAAAAGAGTTCAAAATGTAACATAAGTCAAGTAGGGTGTGGAACCTAGGATGTGCAAGATGCACATCTGGAGGGAATCTTACTGGGGTTCTAGACTATTGTCAATGTCTACAAACGTGATTTTATGGAGTAAGGTGTATTATGTATTGATTTTGATGCCTCCTACAGTATATATGTTAGGGCCATAATTTCCATTGAGCTCAGCAGTTATGGTTATATCTGGGAAGCACTAAATCAGCTGAAGCTGCCTGTGGCTCTCAAACAAGTGATTTTTGGAAGAAGCTATAGTAACATGATCTGCACATAACTCTAAGCTATAATAAGTGGACATATGCTGAGCCAAATATAAAGAAGCCACAGTATAAGTATAGCTTTGGTGTCTATGTAAACAAACCATTGTTTATGTTCATGCATATTTCTATTCTGCTTGTCAAACATTTAACCAACTCAGATTCCTCCACCCCTCTTGAAGATTAAGGGAAATATATATATATTTTTAAAACACATGGTTCCATTATTCTGTGTATTTTATCTTTTCAAAAGAATACTGCATGGAGAAAAAGTGTAGATGGGGACCACTCTCCCATTCACTCAGCCTGCTTCTGCTGCTCCAGGTTGGATTGTAAGCATTCCCAGAGGATGGCCTTCCTTATCCAAAGAGAAAGAGTTTATATGCAGTCTTCAGTACTCTTTAAACATGTTCACATCTTCATTAAAATGAGACAAAAATGAATCTAACATTTCTATGCTCCTTTTGTGTCTTAAGCCAGTATTTCAGTTGCGTCCATCCTGTACGAGGAATATATATATATTTTTAAATCTTTCTACAGAACACAGGAAGAAGTATTCCAACTTCATTGTGGCAGATGTCTCCCAGTATGCTGTCAATGTAGGTATTTTTGTTGTTGTTATTTTGGAATTTAGATTGGGTTAAAGTGTGGCGAAGTATACAAAATTGGGATTTAGAAGCTTTAGGAATTAAAGTATAGGAAGTCATTTATTTCTTGGTTAACATAGTTCTGCAAAATTCCTCCAGAATAATTTTTATGTGTATTGAGATGTCTGGGTAATATCCAGTAATAAATTAATCAGGGCTAACTTATTATTTCCCCTTTAATTGCCACTATTTAAAAAAAAAATCCTTCTGAATTGCTTACTTTATATTCCACCTATTCATCTCCTTCATAAAAAATCCTTTTCCTCTGGAGAAATATGAATAAAAAAATAATTTCAGGTTTTAACCCTATTAATTTACTCCATAAGGATAAGGTAAGATTTTAAAAAAATGATGACAACAAAATTACATGAAAAAGAGGGATCCCATGGATAAAATAAGGCCTTACTGTATAGCATTGGTTCTCAACCTGTGGGTCGGGACCCCATTTGGGGTCGAACGACCATTTCACGAGGGTCGCCAAACAACGCAGTCCGCCATTTTTCCCCCTTTTTCCTTAGCTGTGCTATTCCCTTTTATTCTATTGGCTTTTGAAATTGTCAGGAATTGTCCAGGCTGTCTCTGCCCTGCTGAACCCGCCAAAAGTCCCATTCTGCAAACAGTGCTGCACCAGTTGAGTAATCCTCGACTTACGACAGGTTGAGTAGTCCTCGACTTACGACCGGTTGGGGGTTGTGGCATTAAAAAGGTTGAGATAGCTTCCAAGCCATCTTCAAGTGCAGTCCTATGTAGAATGCATTGTAGTCATTTAAACCAGGGGTCCCCAATCTTGGCAACTTTAAGACCTGTGGACTTCAACTCCCTGAGTTCCCCAGCCAGCATGGCTGGCTGGGGAATTCTGGGAGCTGAAGTCCACAAGTCTTAAAGTTGCCAAGGTTGGGGACCCCTGATTTAAACAAGAGGTGACTAAAGCATGAGTGACTGTGAGAAAGTTCTTCTGGTCAAGATGAATCAGTGCAAACTCTCCTGGCTACCACTTCTTCCTATAATTCGAGAAGGTCCCACAAATTATAGGTGAGTTCCACTTAAGGAGATACAACCTTATCAATAACTGAAGTAGGAAGGTCCTTAGAACTGAAATGCCCTTGAATCCACAATCTCCCAGCCCTTCCTAGGTTGAACCTGACCTGCTTCCCTCATCCAGACTCTTAACAGCCTCTATGCACCAAGACAAGATCTTTTGGGCACCACCTGTTCACTTAGGAGTTGAGATATACAATTGGAAATTATCCACCTATTGATGATGCCTGACCCCACCTCACTGGATGGTCTTGACCAACAACCTCATATAGATGTTGAATACAAGTAGCAAGAGAGTCAAGTTTTGAGGAACCGTGCAAAGTAAGGGTCTCAGCCTCAGCCCCTCCTGATAGTGCCTGCTGGAACCCATTCTGAAGAAAGGAGAACTGGTGCAGTGCAATGCCCACCAACCCCCCAAAATCACTGAGAGATCAAGTGGGATCAAGAAAATCATACCATCCCTATCCTGGTTCCATCAAAATTCATTTACAAACATGACCATTGTCACGTCAACGAATATCTCTTCCTGAAACCAATTAAAATGATCCAAATAATTCACTTTCTCTAGACTGGAATTGCAGCTCACCAACTTTTACACAATTTTCCCCGGGAAAAAGGAGATCATTTGATAATTTTCTATTGCTGCTGAGTCCGAGGATGGCTTCCTGAGGAGGGGATATGCCACTGCCTCCTTCAAGGTTTGTGGGACCGCCCACTCACTCAAGAATGAATTTACTATTGCTTACATAACTGGTTTTCCCAGTTGCAATGTATGGCTATGAAAGCTGGATCATAAGAAAGGCTGAACGCCAAAGAATTGAGATGTCTGGGTAATATCCAGTAATAAATTTTGAACTATGGTGCTGGAGCTGGAGAAAACGCCTGCGAGTCCCCTGGACTGCAAGGCGATCAAACCGGTCAGTCCTAGAGGAGATCAACCCTGACTGCTCTTTAGAAGGCCAGATCCTGAAGTTGAAACTCAAGTACTTTGGCTACCTAATGAGAAGGAAGGGCTCACTGGAGAAGAGCCTAATGCTGGGAAAGATTGAGGGCAAGAGAAGAATGGGACGACAGAGAATGAGGTGGCTGGATGGAGTCACTGAAGCAGTAGGCATGTGCTTAAATGGACTCCAGAAGATGGTAGAGGACAGGAAGGCCTGGAGGAATGTTGTCCATGGGGTTGCAATGGGTCAGACACGACTTCACAACTAACAACAACATAACTTACTCCTCTGCTATATTGAAATTAGATCCTGAAAGCCTGATACTTCCTTCCCTTTATGTCAATATAAAATCTAGGCCATAAGGCTAAACTGATGAATAAGCACAACAGAACACAAAACAACAGAACCATAGTGTGTTGTGGGAGGAAAGGGGAAGAAAAATGAAAGGAGGAAGAAAATTACCCAGGAGAGAACTTAATGATACTGGAAGACCTGAACAGGCCTAAAATAAAATACAATTGGAGCCAGATGTGCAGGAACACATTAGAAACTAGATTAATTATCACGATGCCATTTAGCCAGCATCCTCTAAGGCTGTTCATGCTTCAGTCTTCAACATGTAGTTTGGAGAACATGGGATCAGGACGTCGTATCTGTCTCCAGTACTATAAACTGGCTAACTTTTCAGAGCAAAAGTCTGCATTAAGGCATTTCAAATCACTGCTACACATTTGCACTTCCATGTGCACCTTCTGGAAAGAGAACCCAAAGCATTTTACAGCACTATTACCTACATCTCGGTCTTGGTGAGATGTTGAGGTGGCCTGTGTCATGGTTCAAAAAGATAGAGACGAATAAAACAGAACTCCAAGGCTTGCAAATTCCTCAAAGAACATGTTTATTAGTTACAAAGTATCAGCACATCAAAAGTGAAACCAAGTCTGGAGACACACGTAATAATTCCCCAATACAAAGTTAAAAAATCCCACCATTGAAAATATGCAAGCAACTACATTCCCCAATACATCTTCTTGGCGGGCTTTTTATGCAACGCCCAGCCTGCAGTCTCAGGAGCAGCCGATGACCTTGATTCCCATGGGACAAAAGATTATTTAGACTAATGAAGCACTAGGCAACCCCTCTCCCTCCATTCTATGTGGCAACCAAAAATAAGTAGGGAAAATGGCTGCAACCATGCTCATTTGTAGAGTTGACAGCCTGTGGCATATGGAGACACATAAAAATAGATGAATAACAACATTAGTATCATATAATGGACCTGTTTGTGTCTCTCTCTTGTCTATATACTTCAGCACCTGGTGACCTTCTCCATTGGGGAAGAGGACGATTTGACATGTGTGGAAGATGCTGTCAGGAAACTGTGCATCATGGATAAGCAAGGGAAGGTCTGGGTTCAGGAGATGTTACTCCAAGTCAGCGGGTCAGCTATCAAGCTCCTTGACATAAACTCAAAGGTGCAGAAACTTACCAAGAGCAGCAATGTTGGGCGGCTAATGAAGATTTGGGGGAGACATGGGTGTTACCTGTGTCCAAATTCCTCTTCTTTGGAAAGAGTCCATGTTAGATGGATGTCCTTGATTGTCTTTCTTTCCCCACTAGGAGGAATTGGAGAATTATGCATTGGCAACTGTGGCTTATTGTGATGCTGTCCGCCCTGAGTCTCGGTCACGATCCTTGCTTCTACTCATGTGCCAGGAACCTACTCAGCTCAGACCGGATATCCACTTCTTTGAGTGTGATCAAATTAGGGTAAAAGAATTGAGCCTATCAATCCACAAATAATATTTAGAGAATGATCCTATGTAATTACTCAATTCTATTCAGTATAGAAAATTTACTTGACATGGGGATGGCAACTATTCAGTGGCTGGGGATGAAATTAACATTTTAAAGGAAAGACAAAGTTCATAGATGTTGGGGCCATGCCATACACAGGGGAGGTGCTGGAATTCTCCCCCCTCCTTAACTTTCCCCCTTTTAAAAAAAGAAATTCTACTTCTGATGTTTGACCACTGTGTTTTGAAGAGTCTGAGCGTTATAACATGGTGCCCATAAGCAGTCCAGAATCCTGAGCTTGCCCAGCCCTGATCTACAACATGGGGATTTGGGACAAGGGAAGAGTTCTCAACAAAAATTTGATCTGGTTTCTCCTTTGCTTGGCAGGCGGAATGGATCCAGCAAGACATCAGTAGTGCCCTGCTGGACTTCAACACAGGAGGAAATACCCAACGGACAGAAGCCTTAAGGTACATGTACAGCCTAAGACCCATGGTTGTGATAAGACAGCTTCAAAGGGCCAAAGGTCACATTACTCATAAACAAGAAGTCACATCTGAGAGTTTCATTATCAAAAACAGGGGTGGGGAACTATGGCCGCTTTATGACTGTGGACTTCAACTCCCAGAATTCCTGAGGCAGCCATTGCTGTAAGAAAAGTTGATTCCCAGCAGAACTGTGTGGTAGGTGAAAGCACATAATTTCTTCCTTACCAGCTGCTTTTCCAGGGTAGATTTCTCTCTGTAATCACATCATCATTACAAGTTCACCCTCCCCCAACCATCTCCACCATACAATTTGGATTCAGAGAGAAAGTAGGATTGCTTAGTTATAGGTAGTTCTTGATTTACGATCACAACTGGAACCAAAGCTTCCATTACTCAGCAAGGCAGATATTAAGTGAGCCATGCCCAATATTATGACCTTTTTTGCCACAGTTGTTAAGTAAATCACTGCAGTTGTTCAGTGAAACATTCGGTCCTTAAGTGAATCTGGCTTCTTGTTGGAAGCCAGCTGTGAAGGTCACAAGTGGTGACCCTAGACACTGCAGTTGTCACAAATACATGCTAGTTGCCACCACCTGAATTTTGATCATGTGACCTTGGGAGTACGGCGATGGTTGTAAATGTGAGGATCGGTCATGTCACTTTTTTTAGTGCCATTGGCACTTCAAATGGTCGCTAATGAATGTTGTAAATTGAGGATTATCTGTATCTGGACTAGCCTTGCCATTTTTCTTTCTACAGCAGCTTGCTATGCAGATTTTGAGAGCTTATTTTATCACATTACCATCATGCCAAGAAAAGAAGTCACATGTACCCTATTTCTGACTGGAGGCTGCTATAGAATACATAGCAATACTTTGATTTTTTTAAAAAAAAATATTCCTGGGATTACAGGAGGGAAGATGGAAACTTAGAAATAAGGAGAAATTTCCTGACAGTGAGAACAATTAATCAGTGGAACAACTTGCCTTCAGAAGTTGTGGATGCTCCAATACTGGAGGTTTTTAAGAAGAGATTGGATGTCTATTTGCCTGAAATGGTACAGTGTTTCCTGCTTGAGCAGGGGGTTGGACTAGAAGACCTCCAAGGTCCCTCTGTTATTCTGTTAATCGGTCATGGGTTGTCTGTAGAGACCTATTATAGATTCTTATGTTGCTGACTGAATGATGTAGAATGTTATATAAATCAGAAGCCAACTTGTCTCTCTGGGGTTAAATATGACCCCAAAATTGCTTTTGAGCATTCCCCACCCCCAACCATGTATTTCTTTCTCATTGTTTTGACCAGGAAAAGCTTGATCCCCACATAACAATACAATACATAAAATACAAAGATCCCCATCCTCAAGCTCTAAAGCAGATGTCTTCAAAAGTGGCAACTTTATGACTTGTAGACTTTAACTCCCAAAATTCCCCAGCCACCATAGCTTTAAGACTTGCAGACTTCGTGAACTTCAACTCCCAGAATTCCCCAGCCAGCTAGGCTATGGGATTCAACCATGGGAAGTTATACAGGTCAAGTCTTAAAGTTGCCAAGTTTGGAGACCTCTATTCTAGAGGGAAAAAGCTCCCAGCTCTACTTACATAATCTTACCCAAGTTGCAGTATTGCCCCATTCACTATGTCCCTGAGGTCCCTTCAACATGCTTGATCCTCAGCCAACAAAATATTGCCTACCCCCAGCCTGGAAGTTACACAGGCCACGTGTAAGATGGAAGGAAGTTGCGTTATCCACTGGATATCAGTCTTTCCCTTTGGATCTCAGACTCTATGTTTTTTGTTTACAGAGCTGCCCAAAATATGCTTGATAATCAGGAGATCTCTCGGCCTCCTGTGCAGGTTCCTTCTAGGACAAAGATTGTTGCACCAGGGCCAAGAGAAGATGGTAAGAACCTTGAAGACTAAGCCCCACAACCTTTTATGGAGGAGGACATTTGGAGAAGAATCAAAACTCCTTGGTAAAATGTATGCCATCCATCCAGGTGGCCCTTAAGGCCAGTTTCTGGCATTTTCAGTTAAGTGGATACTGCCCTAAAAAAGCTATTGCGGGTTAGAAGAGATTACAGGCTACATCAACCAAGGTTCTTACATAGCATTAAGGAGTTTCCTAGCTTCCTATATTAATTGACTTTAATGGGACTTTCTTCTAGAACAGCTTATGAGATGTCATGTTGCATTTTTATATAACTTACTTTCTGTTTGAGTTGCAGGGAACGATCCAGGAATCCTTCCCATCAAGAGCATTTCAGCCACAAATAGGCCTGTCTAAATCTTTGTCTGGTCCCGTCACAATTTGTCTGGTTCCCCCCCTTTCTTTGACTAAAATAAGCATGGTATACAAGATCCCTCCAAAAAATGTTGGCCTCATTCTTAAGGCTGTTGCCATGGCACTGTTGTACACCCTAGTCATCAGAGACCAAAGACCAGGAAAGTGAGGTTCCTCATATCGCCCATATGGTTGTGGGAGTCACAGAAGAAGACACAGCTGCATAGTCTTTTCCTGCCACTGACAGATTCATCCTCTTTGCATCCCAGTTTATTAGCACTAATGTCCTAAACTGTGTCATTTTCCCTCCTGCTTCCAGCCATGTTGGTAGGAGAATCTGATCTGACCTCCATCCAAATGGAGCAAAATGTGGTGAGTTAAATGGGAAAATTAATTCTTGCTGTTGGTTTTTATATAAATGAGATTTGGAGAAGGGGATAGGAAAGCAGAGATGGTTGTTCACTTAATGACTATGGCATTTGCTTATGACCACAAATTCACTTAATGACCCCTGTAAAAAAGATTGTAAAATTGGGCTAGTCATGTGATTGACATTATGACTGTCATGAGTTATGACCATGATGGGACAGTTCCATTACAGTCATAAGTCAAGGACTCCCTGTAAGAGGTTTAAAAAGTGTGACAATGAAGCTAGCAATCACAGTATGACAATCAACAAGTGACCCTACTCAAAGAGCATCCAAATTCACTTTATTTCCCAAAGACCTTTCAGAAGAGCCATGCTCTCATGTCACTTGTTCCTTGCTCGGTACAAAAAAAATATTTATTTTTCATTCTCTTTATTGCCTGGGTGTCTCTGGCAGGAACTGCTAAACCATGTTTTTGATGATGTGGAAGCCTTTGTGAGAAATCTGCAGAAATCTGCCGAAGCTTTCCGTGTCCTGAATCAATGCAGGCGCTCTGCAAGACGACATCTTCGAGAGCCAGGAGGTGAGAAGATTGGCTGAGAATGCAGAAGGTTGCTAGGGAAACAGGAAATGCTTCTCGAGTCTGTCCCAATCAGAATCTTTCTGTGAGTTCTAATTCCAGAATGATTCTAGAACTTACATATCCCATCAATTAGAGATGCACATTTGATGAGATCAGGAAAAGGTCCTTCTCAATGGTGCCCCCTTCCTTGTGGAACATCTTCCGCTCCCCCCCCCCCGGCGTATGATGGGGCCCGCCATGTTGCTTTTTAAAAAGGCTCTAAAAATGTGGGTTTGTTAGCTGTGTCTGGGATCACTTTAATAAAAGAGATAGCCCAATCAACTTGCTGATTTGATTGTGTTACTGCTGCCATGTATGTGTGTATGATTTTTAAAAAGATTTTTATTATATAGTGCAAAATGTTAGGCCCACCAGAGTCAACTCTGTTGTGAGTTGGATGACGATATAAATTTGTTTAATAAATAAATGAAAACAAATAACTTCATCAGACTCCACAAAATTCCAATATGGTTTGAAACTTTTCCCTTTCACCATGGGCCTCTGCAATGGATCTCCTGACAACTTCAGAAGTGCCTCATTCTTTGTTTTTGCACAAGTCAAATGAGCTTCTTGGCCAAAAGGTTTTTAGAGATACTAGTTCTAAAATACAGATCTGAGGACTACAAATATAATTAGACTATTATATTGGAGAGTTATTTCTGCAACAATATGGTTGAGTTGCTCTGTGTAGATTTTTTAGAACCAAGAGCCTTGATTTTCTCAATCTAAAAAAAAAAAGGATTTGAGTCTTAGGGGTGGGAGTTCACCAGCCCCCAAAATAGATAAAGTTGCAGGGAGATTTTTACTGTTTTTTTTTCTTTACCACAACCATAGAGGGACTCTTAACCATCAGAGCAAAACCTCCATCTCAAGAGGAGTTTGAAGACACTCTGTCCAAGATCAAATATTCCTTCAGCCTTCTGGTGAGTTTTGTGTATAGTTTTTTTTTTTTTTCCTCCCAAGGAAATGGAAGATATCTCCTTGGGTTATGCTTTCAACTAAATTATACTTTTTTTCCCCACCACTTAGGCAAGGCTGAAATCTAACATCACTAACCCTACTTCAGAGGAGCTACTATGTATTCTTTTCAAGCCCTTGAAGATGGTAAGTGTTGAAGAAGAGGAGGAAATGAGGTATTTGGTAGTTGAATTAGTAATAGTGTATTTTTCAATCTTGCATCTCCCAAATTGTGGACTTCAACTCCCAGAATTCTCCAGCCTATATGGACATGACATAGAATTCTAGGAGTAACCAAGATTGGGAAACAAAAGATTTGTAAATATACATGGGCAGTTGGATTGTAAAAGCAGTAGAATGATATGAAATTGTGTTAAGGGACTACACTATTTAAATAGCACATGTGAAATGTGAAGCTGAATTCCATAAGTATAGGAGAGAATTCCTGCACAACAAAAAGCAAGAAGGCTATTACAGTACACTTTCTCTGAATTGCTTGTGTATCTTTTTTTTAATAAAATACTTTGGGCCTCAGTTCCATTAGTTGCAGAATTGTGTAATACGGTATAATCCATGAAAAACTTTATTATGGGATTAGGTTGGACGTACCAATGATTCCTAGATGAGTGTATTAGTAAATTTCTCTGGGAGAAGATCGAGTCTCCAGGGGAACAGATAATCGAGATTCTGATTCTCATTTCCCATTTCAGATTGTGGACGCTTCTGGAGGTGTGGAATTTGCTTCTGAACTGCGCAATCCCATGTTAACTCTAGAGGCCGTGACTTTGATGCGAAGCTGCTTAGGAGAACAGGAAACAGAATTTTGGCATTCTCTGGGTGAAAACTGGACTAAGCCCAGGTAAGGGGACTTGGGTTAGTTTTCCCTTGTTATTATTTTTGCCTTCTTAATTTTTTTCCCTATGGGATGTGGTCTAATCGACTCACTTCCACTTCTTCCTTCTGCAGACTTTTAAATATTGCAACTTCCATGTCCCTTTCTTGATGTTATTGGCTATTTCATTTTGGTGAAATAGCTCCCTCTGAAGTGAAGTGATGTCACAGATGATCTAGACCTTGATCTGTTAATTACTTAACAAATAATTGCAAACTTTAGCATTTGGATTTCAAAATTTTCTCAAAGATGTTGAGAATTAGACCAAATCATTTATGACACAATGTGGTGGGATAATAATAATAATAGTAATAATAATAATAGTAGTAGTAGTAGTAGTAGTAGTAGTAGTAGTAGTAGTAATAATAATAATAATAATAATAATAATAATAATAATAATAATAATAATAAAAAGTTGGAATGGACCTTGGAGGTAATCTAGTCCAACCCCCTGCTCAGGCAGGAAACCCTATACCATTTCGGACAAATGGCTGTCCAGTCTCTTCTTAAAAACTTCCAGTGTTGGAGCATTCACCGCTTTTGGAGGCAGGTTGTTCCACTGGTTAATTGTTCTAACTGTCAGGAAGTTTCTCCTCAGTTCTAGGTTGCTTCTCTCTTTGGTTAGTTTCCATCCGTTGCTTCTTTTCCTGCCTTCAGGTGTTTTGGAGAACAGCTTGACTCCCTCTTCTTTGTGGCAGCCCCTGAGATATTGGAACACTGCTATCATGTCCCGCCTCGTCCTTTTCTTCATTAAATTAGACATACCCAATTCCAGCAACCATTCTTTATATGCTTTAGCCTCCAGTCCCCTGATCATCTTTGTTCTCTGCAATCTTTCTAGAGTCTCAACATCTTTTTTACATCGTGGTGACTAAAACTGGATGTAGTATTCCAAGTGTGGCCTTACCAAGGCATTGTAAAGTGGTATTAACACTTCATGTGAACTTTATTCTATCCCTCTGTTAATGCAGCCTAGCATTGTGTTGGCCTTTTTGGCAGCTGCAGCTTGTTCTAGATTGGTTGACACCTGTTGTCTGGGTAGTTTACTTACCTTGCAGTGATTGAAAATGTCATGACTTTGACTCCTTCCTTCCAATTCATATTGTTCCTATTATTTGCTTTGTCCATCAAGGGTGGATTTCCCCAGGGGCTATGCAGCTCCCTACAACCTAACTTTCTGCAGGGGCTGGGAGCCTCCTGTCCGAGATGCTTTTGGAAAACCTTGGGAAGACCCAGTAGAGATACAACACCGTCATGAAGAACGACGCACCCAGGTCAGTGTTGTGATGAGAAGCACATAGGAGAGCATAAGCTTGAATTCTGAGCAAGAGAACAACTATAAAAGGTCCATCATAGAGCTGAGGCCACAGCTCTGCTTGGAACAGTTGAAGAAGTAGATTATTTTTGCCTACATATATGCTACAGGTTTGGATTGATTTTGTGCCAACAAGATGTATCTTCTCCAGGAAGATCAATTTCCAACTTGGTCCTTCAAGTCTTCTAATAGCACACCCATTGCCACTGTAGCTGAGCCCATCCACATTGGTGCTGGTCATCCTCTCCTTGTCTTTCCCTTTCCCAGCTTTATAGACTTTGGTGTATCCATTTTGCTGAATTTCAAACAAAAGGTCATTGTTGTACATTTTGATCTTTTCAAGCAGCTCATTTCTTTAGTAGCAAATGCCTGAAGTAATGCTGCAATGGATCTGTTGCTTTTGCTTGTGGAATCTTTTTTTTTCAGAAAGCGACTTCTATTTTATTTGCACCATTGAATGACTTTGGAGGTTTAAAACTGGTCCAAGGACTTCCACAGATTGTAGCATATTTACAGTATTACATTTGTGGTTGTCCAAGTGGCCTCCTTGCCTCAGTTCTGCTGCTTTCTATTGGAGGACATATTCACACAATAAAGTGTCCATCTCAGGATCAGAAGAACAAAGAAATCCAGCAGGAAAATAGTGTTTTCCAGGATGAAACGGAACTAAAACTTCTATGTTGCAAGGAGGAAAAACCCAAAGGAAGCTGGCCAATTGCAGGGCTCCAGTTTGGAGGACTATCCCACCCCTTCTGGCATATTATGTTTTGGCTGCTGGAGAAAACTAAGCCTAAGCAGCCCCCATAAGCCCTTCCTGGTCCATAGTCTAACGTGTATATTATTTCCCTATTTATTTAAATTTATAAGTTTGCCGAACTCCATGATGACTCTTGGCTTATAACAATAAAAACAGTACAAACACTATATAACAAAGAGCACCTCCGCCCTGCATATCCCCCTACATTAAAAGTCCAGCCCAACAGACATTATCCTTGGGGGAAAAGGTATGATTTCATGATCTTTCAAATGAGGACAGAGTAGGAATTCTAGGATGTCCAGAGGGAAGCTATTCCAGAGGCAAGTGATGTGATAGAGGAGGTCCACTTCCTGAATTCCATCACATAATATTGTTTAATTGGGAGGTCTCGGAACATCCCAAATTAACTTTCCCTACTTATTATATGTTTAATCGTAGACCCATCCAACTGGATGAGGCCAAAGGTTCTCGTAGCCAGCCTGTGCTTTCTCGGTGGCCAATCATATGCTTCTAGGAAGCATGTATATTTGCTAGATTGCTCATTTTTCCAGAACAGGGATAGGCTATAGAAAAATATCAATATGCATTTGTTTGAGGTATAGGGTCTCCTGCTTGAGCTTTTTTATGTGCCGAAGCTATGCAGAAATAAAAGGATTCTTTAAGGTAAATAAGCCTCAAAGTTCTTTGAAAAGCTGCTTCTTTTTGGAACCATGACAGTTGGACTAGAAGATCACCAAGGTCCCTTCCAACTCTGTTATTCTGTTCTGTTCATTCCCACATATCACCACAGAGTGCTTGAGGAAGTAGCTTTGTAACTATGTCCCTCATGCTAACAATTTGTCCCTCACCCTAACAATTTTATGAACAGAAAAGTCCTCCAATTTTGAAACAGTAACTACAGAACATTCTTAAAAATTAGCTGTTTTTCTAGCCCAAACAAGTGGAGGTTCTAGTTCACTTAAAAACTAGTTCCAATTAATTCAGTATTATTCCTGTCCATGAACTGGAGGGAGAATTTGAGAAAGAGTCACTTGAGATGGACCTAAACTAACTTTACTGTTTCTCTATCCCTCTTTCTTTCTCTGTGTTGCAGCAATCGGCACCCACAATTGCAGCCAATGGGTAAGATATTGTTGAACATTTTGAGAATGGATTGATTATTTGAGGAAAATAAACAGGGAGTTTGGAAGAGAGGATTAGCATTTAGAATGTAAAAAAAGTTTAAAAGGAAGGTTGGGAAAGACAAGGATTTTATGATTAGGGTGGAAAGGGTCATTTCTAATTCCTGGTGCATGAAATCTTTTAAAGAGGAAGTAAAAAAACTGAATATTTGGAACATGCAGAATGCATGCAGTGTTGGAGAGCATAGACCTTTCCACTTTATTGGATGAAGAAGTCCCCAGTTCTGGCTTCCTCAGTCATGGTAATCACCCCCAGTATAATCACCATTGTAGCATTAACAAAACTCAATGTGAACAGAGGAACTTGATGATTACAGTCCCTCCCCCGATCCTACTGGGAAGAGAAACTTCAAAGAGAAATGAAGGGTTGGTGCTGTGGTGATGATGGAGAGATTAACATCTTAGGAGGGTTAGATGTGCAAGGATTTGTCATGGACCCTTTAGAGCAGGGATCTCCAACCTTGGCAACTTTAAGACTGGTGGACTTCTTCCCAGAATTCATCAGTCAGCTTTGCTTTAGAGGATGGTAATCAGACTGGATAAATTTAGGAGGTTTTCTGAGATTGAAAATTGTGAGTCGTTTATTAAATGCTTAGGTCAATTCTACATTGCTTTTTTTCCCCTCTTTTCTTTCTTCTTTTTCTAAAAATCTATTTTTTCTATTTTTCTCTATCTATCTGTCTATCTTTGCTCTGGGAATAGCTGGGTCCGGTGGTAAAACCAAGGATAGGAGCTAGCTAGGGAAGTGGTGGTCATAGGGCACTAGGAAGCTTAGCTTAGGGCAGGTGATGGTGTGTTGCAATTAATAATTGCAGGTTCTTACCAGGGTGAGGGGTGCTTTTGGTGATCAGCAACCATTGGATGTTGAGCAAGGACTTCAAATTGTTGTCCTTAATCTGAACTTACAAGTACTGATGGCCAGGAATCCAATTGGCCTACCATGCCTTAAAAGAATGAGAGCCTCTGAACACAGAATTTGAAAAGTGACATAAAATTCCCCATCATGTCTTTTGTATTTCAGTCCTATTTAAATTCTCTGTCCTCTTTTTAAGAAATATATTAATTATCTATTTATGATTGGATAGTAAGAAATAACTGAGAAGTAATTAGAATGGAGATTTCTGGTATAACGTCCAGAACTTGTAAGTTTTTTCTCTCGTGGTTCTCTAAATTCATTTATCCCAAAATCTCTGGAGTCTTGATTCTTGCCCAGATCAAAAAGAACCAAAATATTGGCATGTCAATCTTCACTCAACTTATTGACATGTAATCTGTTCTGAAGTGCTCTGAATTGGGCTATGCTGACAAAAAAAAAGTTTGTATTCCAACTGCTATTTTAACTATCTTTCAAACAATCCTAAGAATTACATCATGATTAGGTTATCAAGGGTTAGTTGTCTAGGGAAACAAGATTAACTATTAAAATTAATTTTTAAAGTTTGTAGCATAGATAAGCACATAATGAGCTAAGAATATATAAACTAACAAAAGATGCACCAACTATAGAGGCCTTGAATTAAACTAGATAAGAATCCAATGGAATTTCCTTCCTACTCTTTATATGCACATATTCATATATATTCTGATTAATGTATTCATACACGTACATATGCAGATATGAGGAAGCACCTAATAATCAGTTCATAATGTAGCAGGGAGGAAGGAAAATCTCTCATAGCTCTCAAAATAAATTAAAATCAAATGACTGTTTTGTAGTGGTATTCGAAATTCTGAATTTAACCAGCACTGCTTGAATGCAAAGATAAAACTAGACTTAAAGTCTCAATGTATCACTGAAATAATCCTTGTAGGTAATTTCTCCCTCTTTTTTTTGCTTAGAATGGAGAGGATTATGGTTTTTTAAAACCTGAGAAATGAGCTAAAACACATCCATGCTAAATATAAACTAGTTTAAGGCCAATGTCATGGGTTTCCCAAAAGATAACTGGGAAACATAACATCACAGATTTGGAGAAAATGTTTAGGTAAATTCTGGGCCACATAACATGTTTGCCATGTGGGAGAACTTTGGGATTATGCCATGGAGTAAAGGAAGAGGAAGCAGCTAGTAAAAATGAACTGCTATAAGAAGGCAGAATGCTTGCTTCTCCTTATAACAGCTCCTTTTTATTGCCATGCTCAACTGCCAGGGAAAATGAACAGCTTAAAAGGAGAGAGAACCATAGAAGAATGGAAAGACAATTAACAATTTCTCCTCTGTTAGAAGCATGTGCATGTATGTGCGTGCATGCACACATACACAAGCATGAGTATTTTCCCGTCCTTTTCTCTGCGTCATGGTAGAGAAAGCATCATTCTCCATAAGCAATGTTGTTATATGTTGGGAATAGACCTCTCTCAGAAACTAAGTAACAGATACCTGATATCTTCAAATATGATATAAAAGGATCGTGTAGGGTTCATACTAGTGCCCAACTCCCAGTATATTTACAGTATAATTTGTCCACTCTTTTTCAAACCATGAAAGTGATCATGAAGACAAAGCCAGTTTAGTCTAGTGGTGAAGGCACCAGACTAAAAGCAGAAGACTGTGAGTTCTAGTCATGCCTTAGGCACAAAAGCTGGCTGGGTGCCTAAGGCCAGTTACTCTCTCTCTCAACTCAACTTACCTCACACGTTTTTGTGAACAGAATAGGAGGGGGAAGCAGTATTAGGTATGTTCACAACCTTTAGTTATAAAAATAATAAAGGCAGAGTATAATAAAACTTCTTGCAAAGCTTTTCATGATATTTCTGCACTAGGTTTCATACTGCAAAACCTAATCGAATTCAGTTTCTAGAATGTTCCCAGCATGTGCTTTACAGTCTAAAAATAACAAAAAACAAAGAGGAGTGCCTATGTGGAGATTAGAAAGGGTGAGCCCAGTTATGCAACTGTAGACTATAAGTTTCACCTAATAAACATTGCAGGATTTCCAGTTCTTTTGCAAAGAACATAAAATGAGATAAGGATAAAGAGTTCTTTTAAGCCAATACCCTAATTATGTAATATTGTTTGGTTCAACTCTTATGGAAGTGAGGCCCACTTGACTCCCTCACTGTTGGTGAGGATCACTTTACAACTGTCACATCTTAGACTCCATTATGAAGGCTACCTGTACCTAGGGGTTTCCCCTCCATTTTCTCCCACAACAGCAATCCTAGGAAGAAGGTTTGGCTGAGGGAGAATTATTGGCAGAAAAGTAAAGTAGAACCTGGGTCTTCTCACGCCAAGTTCTACTACTTTACCACGCCCTCATGCTGTCTGTGATGATGCACATCGCCTTCCCAATAGTTCTCCTGAAAATGTCCCCTTTCTCCCTTGTGTTAATATGAACATGACTGTGGTTAAAAGCAGACTCTGATATTGGGCAAGCTACAAACTAATTCTTTTGCGGTCAGAGTAAGTTCCTAACGTACAGGAGCAGAGAACAAAAGAACAAAGCAATAGCACAAGGAGCAGCTCAAAAGAACTTAGGGAACCCTTCATGCCTTGGGGACTTGGCAGGGAATCAAGGAACAAAAGACCAAGCCCAGCCCTTTCCCTGGATAGAAAAAGAAAGGAAGGAGACTTGGGTCTCCCAAGAAGTCCAGGAGAATAAAGTAGAGCCCAGATTATCTTAAAAGAAAACAGAGTCAGTTCAAGCAAAACAAGAAAGGAAGTGAACAAGAATTCTTTTCTTCTCTGCTGACCTCTGATTTGAATGAGACTCTGATGCACAGTGGTAAAGCAATTAGGGGAACTCAGCTCTAAAAGCAGGAAGAAGATTGGAGGAGAGACAGAGACAGATGAGACTCTTCCAGAAGGCAAGAAGCCAGAGTCAGGGACCAGGTACTTTGGGCACGGAAGGGAAACGTAACAGGATGAAAACAAGAGGACAGCAGTTTAAAGAAAGATGGCGCCCAGAAGAGAACCAAGAGGGGGACACTGGGCAGCCAGTGAAGGTAGGACTGGAGCGGGGTGGGAATTGGAGTGTCTCCTTTTCTTTTTCTTCTTGAATTCCTATCCTTCTCAGAACCAGTTTGCAAGATGGGTGTCCCAGCCAGTCCAGCTCTGATCCTCATAAAATCTAGCTGGAAGAAGGATTGCAGATACTGTACTGTAGATGGTTCAGGGTGTCTTTTCTGGTAGGAAATGCCACCTATTACCCCTCCAAAAAAAGGGGGGGGCAACTGGTGTAAGCTAATATCTCATTTTGCCCTTTCCTGGTCATTATCCATTCCTTCCTTCTATATCACGTTTTTTTGTTCTGTAATTGGGTAATCTTTGTGAATATGAGAGTGACCAGAGTGGGTCACGTTGCTATTGTGATTAATGCTAATTAATGATAACGCCTAGCCATCTTGCAATCTTCTCTCCTACCATTTTTTATCGGCAGGATGCATGAAAATTGGGATAATAGAAATACACTTGCATTGCCCCCTAAACCCAGCGTATATTAAATAAAACCTGCATAAAACAAGCGATGTCTAGAGTTGAAATAAATGTAGTTAATCAGTCTGTTTAAAATTAGCCAGATGAATTAAGTTGAAATGCATTTGCATGGTGATGCCCAAGTCCAGTATCAATTCTACTTTAAGATATTGAAGGAAGTGCTGGATATTTACATTCAGTTCAATAAACAGGACTAAACACTATTAACTCTGCATTTGGGAGTTACTCTTTCATTCTCTATCATACTTACACATCTAAATTAAGATGACATGAAGCAAATAATATTTCACAATCCATTTACTAACTCTCAACTATTAACTAGATTAATCTTTACTTATTAACATTTAAAACGTTTTGTAGCTTAATTAGTTGATGACCCAAGAGTTGTCAATCATCCCACTGACCAAACTTCTTTTGCTCACTTCTGTATCTCATCCTTGTCTTTGCTCTGATGCAAACTAAACTCTATTGAAATTTTCAGGACTTCTGGGACTTTAATTAGAAGTTTCCTTCTTTTGGGTTTTCTTTCATGGATTGGCTTTGTTACCTGTCAAGAGAGAAATTGCTTAACTTTTTATTACTAGTTTTCACTCTTTGTAGTTTTCTTGTTCAACAGCATGGTTTTTAAAATTTAATTTAATTATTTTTTAAAAAAGATGCACTGTTTTAATTATGCTGACAGTTGTAGAAGTACAGAAAACTTAATGTGGACCCAGCAATTGTTGTAGTCAATTATATGATGAAATTTGCATATATTTGCAAGTAAAGAAGATGTCAGGGGTATACACAAGGGAAAGTGTTAAAAAATCAAGATGGTTGCTACAGGCTTCAAGTAGTCCTCGACTTACAACAATTCATTTAGTGACCATTCAAAGTTACAACGACATTGAAAAAAGTGACTTATGACCGTTTTTCACAGTGAGGACCTCTGCAGAATCCCTGTGATCACGTGATCAAAATGCTTGGCAACGGCTTCATATATATGACTATTGCTGTGTCCCAAGGTCATGTGATCACCTTTTTTGACCTTTCGACAAAGGTCAATGGGGAAGCTAGATTCACTTAACAACGGGTTACTAACATCAACTGCAGCGATTTGCTTACAGCAGTGGCAAGAAAGGTCATAAAACGGGGCAAAAATCACTTAACAAATGTCTCCCTTAACAACAGAAATTTTGGGCTCAATTGTGGTCATAAGTCGAGGATTACCTGTATGTGATCAAAGCCTGAACCATAATGTACATAAAAAAGAGGGGGTTTTGATCACATAGTGTGGCCGCCATTTTGTCTTTTCCAGACTTCAGTAGGTTCTAAAGAAGAAAGCATGTGCTTTTTTACGTTGCAAGAGCAGCATCTTAGTAATTCCCCCATCTTTTTCTGTTGAGCGTTCATATTTTTATGAAGATGGGCTGTATCACCTGCAGATTTAGACAAAAAAAAATTGTGTGTTTAATTAGAAGCAGTTTTTTTAAAAAAATAAATAAATAAAAACTAAGTGAATGAATAACTTGTGTGGCTGTAGAATAAACTATCAGTGTTTCTCAACCTTGACAATTTTAAGGCATGTGGACTTCAATTCCCAGAATTCCACAGCCAGCATTGCTGGCTATGGAATTCTGGGAGTTGAAGTCCACATGCCTTAAAATTGTCAAGGTTGAGAAACACTGAACTAAATGAAAGCCACATCTCTGTATAAAGGTCTAGAACAGAATGTTTCCATAAAAGTGAAAGTGAAAGGAATGGAAGATGAGATAGACATAACCTTGGGAGTGGTCATCTCTAAAGCTTTCAATAAAACTTGATGATCCCCCAGCTGCATCTAAATCTCTGTTTTTACTGGTTACTGATCAGGAACAGTGGATAACGGATAGAAAATTCGCAGAAGAGCCCAAGGGTTTCTGATACTCAGAAAATACAAAATGGAAAAAAATAAAGTTTTCTGGGTCTAAATTGGATGGCTAGCATGGAGGAAAAGCTGGAAAGAGACCCTAATAGGATATGCATATACCGTGGTGCCTTGGTACTCAACTGTTTTGAAACTCAGCAAATTTAGTACTCAACAAATTTGTCCTGGTACTTATTATTTGTTTGGTACTCAATGCACAAGCTAGAACTTATCAATGTCGACTGCCTTATGACTCACTACATTATTCCTTATGGAAAAAAATTGTTTGTTACTCATCATGTCTCCTGAAACCAATTAATGATGAGCACCAAGGTACTACGTTAACTGAAGGATGAGCTCAGCTAAAATTCTTGACTTGTAATAAGAGGCAACCTTGTTCCTTAATCCTAAATCAACTCGCTACCTTCATTGGTCTCCAGTCAGTAGATCTTGGAGATCTGTAAAAACACAGTGAATTCCTTAGATGTAAAGTCTGATCTACACGGATCATAGGTATTCTTGCATTAAACCCAGTGTATCTTCCTTCTCACTCACAGATGCAAACATCTAGAGAAATCAGTGATCTGCACCCATAGCTTCACAGCCAGAAACAGCAATGAACTGTCAGTGCTTCAAGGAGACATATTAGAGGTGAATTTATGACCCAGGGTATCAACCATGCCAAAAAAGGGCAGTGGAAACCTTAATATAAAGAAGATAATTGCATTTGGGAATCCCAAAATTTGGAAACACACCATTGTTTGCCAATTTGAAATTGGCTGGATGATTTTGGGTCAGTCACTCTCAGTTCAACTCCCCCCACATTGTTGCTGTGGTGGAGAAAATTGTAAGAGGAAGAGTATTATGCATGTCCACCATCTTGAGTTATTCATAAGTTATTTATAAATATGTAAACGTGTTATGTATGTGTACACTTTTGAGAGCAAGCCACAAAAATTCATTTTTAATGTATGCCACTCTGCCAACAGTAAAAAAATGACAATAAAGGTTATCTATCTACCTACCTACCTATCTATCTATCTATCTATCTATCTATCTATCTATTTATCTGTCATCTATCATCTATCTATCCATCTATCCATCCATCTATCTTTAGCGTATGGCATGAAATACATGGATAGCACTAGTAAAGATATATAGAAAAAAACAAATAATATGATACATGTAACATGAAGACGTATAGTGAATTTTGTAAGCTATAAGGAATTCAAGAAATTATATATTCAGTTACAAATATATATTTTATTTTAAGATACATTGGTTATATAAAACACATTTTGTTTGTTGTTAGGTTCTTGATGATAGTAGAAAGTGGTGGAAAGTCAAGAACTGTTATGATCAAGTTGGTTACGTCCCTTATAATATTCTTGCTCCAGTGCTGAATGGAGATAATTCCAGTATCCAGAATGACAAGGAAATGCTTCTAATTCATGAAATCACCCCTGTAACAACGAAGGTGAGTTAGAATACATGAAATAGGGCTTTGTTTATTTGTTTCTGTTTTTTTTTAACATTCTATATCCTATGGGATTTAAAATTAAAAACCAATATTTTAAAAACGGCAAAGAAAACAAATGTCTATGGAGATTCTCTGTCATCCAGGTCATGGTTGTCCCAAAGATGCTTTTTCAAGAGGCAACTGGACTTTCTTGTTTTCCTTTGAAGATGTTTCACTTCTCATCCAAGGAGCTTCTTCAGCTCTGACTGGATGATGGGGCTGAATTCTTCAGTCAGAGCTGAAGAAACTTCTTGGATGAGAAGTGAAATGTCTTCAAAGAAAAACTAAGAAAGTCCAGTTGCCTCTTGAAAAAGCATCTTTGAGGCAAAGAAAACCCTTGAACCAGCAAAGCAATCAATCTAAACATAAATACAATGAAATGTATTTATTAATTTGATATACCGGTATTTATATGGCCACCCATCTCACAGATCAGGGCTCTGGACGGCATATGACACAAAAAGCGATTGGGTAGAATAGCTTTAATCTTCTCTAGGTATGTTAAGTTATAACTTGATGATCCACACCTGACACAGCTAGTCCTCAGCTTAGGACTAGAATTGCCATTTCTTTGTGAAGTGATTGTTAAGTGAATTACACCTAATTTTAAAAACTTTTTTTGGCCCCAATTAACGGAATCACTGAAGTTGTTAAGTGAACCAGTCACGAGATTATTAAACAAATCAGGCTTCCCCCATTGGTTTTGCTTGTCAGGAGCCAGCTGGGAAGGTCACAAATGATCACAGGGTCATGGGATACTGTAATGGTCATAAATACTTGCTGGTTACCAAATGCCTGAATGTTGATCACATGCTACAAAGAACATCAGGCAGGTTTCACTGGTAAGGTGGTACAAGATGATGAATATCAGGCAGGAGAAGCAGAATGGAGAATGGAGAGGAAGATAAGGCTAGTGAAAAGGATTCCTGCATGTGGCAATGTGGTTTTGCAAATCCCACCTGTATCCCTGAGTATGAAATGCTGAGGACGTGAAATGGAATATGCTTAGGGATGTCCTGGGAGAATCTATTGGTGATTATTAGAAACCAAATACTGGACTAGATGGATCTTTGGGGTGATCCAACATTGCAGCACAGAGGTCAGAGAGACTTGATAAAGCCTGGTGAGATTTAGGGAAAACAATCAAAGCTTTCCCTCTTTGAGCTCTAGAAAATGCTGAAATATCAAAAATGGAAGAATATGAAATCAGAACTGCATTCCACATTCCAAGTTCTAAAATGGGAAACCAATTGTCATGGCTCCATTGGATCCTGGTTTGGAGGAGAAGGAGGAGTTGGAACCAAGACCATTTAATGGGGATGGCATAGTCCCCTCAGAACGAGTGACAAGTCCAGGGGCTGAGTACGAAGCAGTCTCAGGGCCATTGGGCAGTAGAGGGAGTCAGCCAACTGGATGGAGAGCTGCTTGCAGGAGAGGATCAGCTGCAGAGGGCCAGTGGAGATGACAAGCTCCAGACCACTTCTGATGAGGAACAGCTGCCTCTCTCCCCGCCCAATCCACGGGCATGGAGAGCGGAGCAGAGGGAGGCACAAAAGAGGTCAGTGAGGTTGCTCGCAAGAAAGCAGCCCCACTCCTCCTCACAAGGAACTGGGGATGATTTAACCAGACACTGGAGGAAGATGCGTTTATCAGGAACACCTGTTTGTTTTGATGCACACCTTCCTGGCTTTCATGGATCTTGGCTCATGTGTGTTGGCTCCAAACTGACTTCGGATTCTTGGACCATGCTTTGGTTCTTGGAACCCTGGACTTTTGTTGCAGACTTGGTACTTATGGGTGTTGTGATTTACCTCTTGGGCTCATGGGTTGGCTAGGATTTAATTTGTGGAACCAGGGAATTCAGACAGAGAGAAAACTGAGAGCTGAGGTGGAGCTACACTGGCACCACTGGTGGGTCATTTGGTGCTGTGTTAAATGTGTAATAAATGGACTCTACTTAACCTCTTCCTTGCCAGCATAAGTTGGGTCAGAACATCAACAAACAAAACTAGCCAAATGAATTGGGATTTTACATATTAAAACTCAGATACTTTAGAGGACTAATTGCTTGTAGATAATTAATGTAGCCTTGTCACCACAATTTCTTGTAACATCTCTCCCAATCAGAAATAGACTTCTACCATTCGTTGTTCTTCTTTTCTTTCTCCACATAGATAATACCACCTCAGCCACCAGCAATGACCACAAGTCTACAGTCCAATGGTGTAAAATTGGCCAGCGCAAAGGAGCCTAACGAGAACCAGAATAAGAAAGGTGAGACCTCTCTTTCATTTGGAACTGAAGAGCCAGCAAACAAGCAATTCTTCTTTTTGTTTTGCCTGAGCACATGGTCCACATTATCTGTGAGAAATCTCGGGTTGACCTCTGACCTAGTAAGAGCACAGAACTGGAATTATGTTAGATGGAGTTGATTTGTCTCCTAAAATATCCTTTGGACAATCTGAACTCTGAGTCTAGGGCAGTGAGGGAGACCTTGTGTCCTTCAGAAGTTGCTGAATTACATTCCAATCATCTCCCTCACCAATGTTCATGGTTGACTAGAACTATTGGACAGCTCAGTAGCATTTAGAAACCACATGTTCCCCATCCTTGCTCTAAAACCAGTGGTGCGAGACGACATTCCAGGGAGTACAACAACTTGGGTTTAGAAGTTTCAAAAATATAGTGTATATGCATAATTCATTGCCGTTATTTCAAACTTTTGTAAGGGATGAGAGAATATATCAGAAGCATTCTAGGGGTACAAGGTATAGAAAAGATTGGGAACCGCTGCTCTAGAAGAAAGCAACATGATCTATATATTTTCAAACAACTAAACTAGCTTCTTAATGGTTTCCTAAAATGGTGGATCATGTAATATTGGAAGGAAGGTATAAAAATAGTCTTTTTGCAGAGCGAACCTGCTCCTGTGACCTACCAAAATTTGAGACTTTATCCCAAATCCTGATGTCCTTTCTACAGCACTTAGTACCCTACCCTCATAACTGAAGAACTACTTGCTCTGAGAATAACTTCATTTTCTTTTTACTTCCTGGCTACTTCTTTCAACTAAAGAAATTATTTCAATTAAACCATTTGCTGGTTTGCTTTCCCAAATCTACTCCCTGTTAATGATACAGCAAAGAACATTACCTAAAGCTCTGGCATGTGGTCCCTGAAAACAATGGGCCTGGTTTTCCAAATCCTTGGTACAACCTGTTGTAGATAATCCAATCTTCTAAATGTCTGGGCTTCAACATTCAGAATTCTCAGAAGTTATCATGATGCTGGCTGATGATATGAGGTGTTAACCATTGGATGCCCAGATCTAGGAAGACTGCAGCTATGGTCTCATACTACTAGTAAATACAGGTAGTCCTTGACTTACGATCGCAACTGATCCTAAAAATTTATGTTGCTGAATGAGACATTTGTTAAGTGAGTTTTGCCCCATTTTCTTGCCACAGTTTTACATGAACCATTGCAATTGTTAAGTTAGCAATACAGTTGTTAAGGTGAATCTGGTTTCTGCATTGACTTTGCTTGTCAGAAAGTCACAAAAGCTAATCACGTGACCCTGGGACACTGCAACCATCACAGATACAAACCGGTTGCCAAGCGTTTGAATTTTGACCACGTGACTAAGGGGATGCTGCAACAGTCCTAAGTGTGAAAAATGGTCATAAGTCACCTTTTTCAGTGCTGTTGTAACTGTCATAAGTCGAGGACTACTTATACCCTTGTCCACATTATCTGAAGCACTGGAGCAATCAAATCCATAATTTAATCCTGCAAAAATTCTGTAGAACCTACAGCATTTTAGTTTACTGCAGGATACTGTAGATGGGATAGGACTCCCACCTAAAGTATGGGCTACAAATGGAGATGTGCAAAATTGGGCAGTCCGTCCTTCCTCTCTCCCCCCCCCCCACCATCCTACCAACACAGGAATGGCTCATCCATTTTCAGAAGTGAATGTTTTGGAACAGTAAGTGATATATTTTCTTCTGGATATGATCTGCCCCAAAGTACATAAACTCTGAACTACCTGTATTTCCACATCTGGAAAAAAAAAAAAGTTCTTGGAAGAAAACACATAGTTCTTGCACTTACCTAGATATAAAGGACAAATCCTTTCTTTCTCCAGTGATTCATTTCCAATGAATCCTTGAGTGATATCTCTTTCTGCTCTGGTAGAACACTTCAGCGTGGTCAACGAGGAGCTTGTCTTCAGGCTGGCCAACGGGACAAGTGGCTATGGCAAAACTCTTCATATCCCACGTACTCTGGATACTGATGTCCCTTTAGACTACAATTCAAATTCTGATCAAGTCCGGACCTGGTTGGAGGCCAAAGGGTTCAATCCATTGTGAGTTGGTCTCTGTTTATCTTTGAGAAAATATGTGGGTTGATAATGAAATACACTTAGATTGGCTATTTCTCTCTTTAAATCGTATTAGATTCTAGATCAGAGATGCTATGCGTATCAACAATCTTCCTAGTTGACAAATGCGTAATAATTTAGAGCAGGGATAGGCTACCTTGGCTCTTTTATGACTGGTGGACTTCAACTCCCAGAATTCCTGAGCCACCCATGCTGAGGGGAAAGAGAGAAGTTTCCAAGCTGAGCCATGCTGGCTCAGGAGTTCTGGGAGTTGAAGTCCACGAGTCATAAAAGAGCCAAAGTTGCCTACCCCTGATTTAGAGCCGTGGTTCTTAACCTGGGCGATATTGCCCCCCAGGGGACGATTTCATTTTTCAGGGGGGCGATGGAATGAAAAGGGGTGACGGGGGGCGATGGAATGAAAAGGGGCGACGTGGGGGCGAAGGAACGAAAAGGGGGCGATATGGGGGCGATGGAGCAAGAAGTTTTGGGGACATTTTTGAGCCTGCCCCTGCAGCTCCAAGCCTCCTCCGCCATTTGGAGAGAGAGATAGAGAGAGAGAGGCACTTGTGCCTCTCTCTCTCTCTCTCTCTCTCTGATGCGGATTTGCCCCCTCACAGGGCATCTGGTTGGCCCTGCGCACGGGTGCCCCACCTCCTGGGACAAGCGCAGCCAGGAAGTCCATTTCCCTGGCTGGCCCCGTACCAAGTGCACATGGCTGGGGAACCACGCAGGGGATCCCCAGGATCCCCGCTGGGAGCAGCCCACCAGAGCCTCAGCCTAGCGGGCCAGCCTTCCTGCAAGCCGCGGCCCTGAGGGAGAGCTGACCCTGTGATCCCCAGCCATGGGACTGTTGGCCCAGCTGGCCGGGAAGGTGCGCCAGAGTCCTGGCTGCTTTGAGAGGTGAGTAGAAGATGGGGAGAGAAAGGGAGGGGGAGGCATTTTCCAACCAGACCCGCGGGAGCGCCTCCTCCTGGGGTCCGGCGCCGGCTTCCTTGCGCTCCTCTTCCTCCCCTTCTTCCTCCTGTTGTCCCACGGGCGGCAGTCCTGGCTGGGGTGGTGGCCGGAGGGGGCATCGCTCCCTGGGTGATGCTGATGGGTCGCGGATGGCCGGGAGCGTCATGTGTTGCGGAGCAGCCTCAGCTCCTCCAGCAGCTGATGGGGGTGTTCTGCAGATGCCTTGCGAGTTAAGCCCAGGGATGCTGGCGGCACGAGGGGAGGCTTGGCGATGCAGCCAACGGGCGGGGCATTCTGCAGATGCCCCGTGGTCCCGACTTGAGCTCAGGGACGCCAGTGGCACGTGGGACAGCCTGCCAACGTGACCGTGAGCTGAGACGTCCCTGCAGGCCTGGCAGGCAGCAAAGCTGGGTGCCTCCAGCAGCAACAGGGTCTTCTGCTGCCTCCTGCCCCCCCTCCCCACCCCTTCGGTGCCCTCTGCCTTTCATTTTCTCTCTCTCTCTCTCTCTCTCTCTCTCTTTCTCCTCACCTGGAGAAAAAAGGGGGAGGGAGAGGAAAGAGAGAGGGAGAGGGGAAAGAGAAAAAGAGAGAAAGAGAGGAAAGAGAGAGAGGAAACACAAGTGCCTCTCTCTCCCCCTCTCCTCATCTGAAGAAAGAAGGGGGGAGGGAGGGAGGGAGAGGAAAGAGAGAAAGGGAGAGGGAGAGGGGAAAGAGAAAGAGAGGACAGAGAGAGGAAGCGCAAGTGCCTCTATCTCTCCCCCCTCTCTCTCTCCTCACCTGGAGAAAGGGGGAAGGGGGAGGGAGAGAGAGGAAAGAGAGAAAGAGAGAGGGAGAGGGGAAAGAGAAAAAGAGAGAGAAAGAGAGGAAAGAGAGAGAGGAAGCGCGCAAGTGCCTCTCTCTCCCCCCTCTCCTCATCTGAAGAAAGAAGGGGGAGGGAGGGAGGGAGAGGAAAGAGAGAAAGGGAGAGGGAGAGGGGAAAGAGAAAGAGAGGAAAGAGAGAGGAAGCGCAAGTGCCTCTCTCTCCCCCCTCTCTCTCTCCTCACCTGGAGAAAGAAGGGGGAGGGAGGGAGAGGAAAGAGAGAGGGAGAGGGGAAAGAGAAAAAGAGAGAGAAAGAGAGGAAAGAAAGAAGAAGCGCAAGTGTCTCTCTCTTCCCCCTCTCTCCTCACCTGGAGAAAGAAGGGGGAGGGAGGGAGAGGAAAGAGAGAAAGGGAGGAGAAAGAGAAAGAGAGGAAAGAGAGAGATGAAGCGCAAGTGCCTCTCTCTCCCCCCCTCTCTCTCCTCACCTGGAGAAAGAAGGTGGGAGGGAGGGAGAGGAAAGAGAGAAAGAGAGAGGAAGAAGGGAAAGAGAAAGAGAGAGAAAGAGAGAAAGAGAGAAAGAGAGAGGAAGTGCAAGTGCCTCTCTCTCTCCCCTCTCTCTCTCCTCACCTGGAGAAAGAAGGTGGGAGGGAGGGAGATGAAAGAGAGAAAGAGAGAGGGAGAGGGGAAAGAGAAAGAGAGAGAAAGAGAGAAAGAGAGAGGAAGCACAAGTGCCTCTCTCTCTCCCCCTCTCTCTCTCCTCACCTGGAGAAAGAAGGGGGGAGGGAGGGAGAGGAAAGAGAGAAAGAGAGAGGGAGAGGGGAAAGAGAAAAAGAGAGAGAAAGAGAGGAAGTGCCTCTCTCTCCCCCCTCTCTCTCCTCACCTGGAGAAAGAAGGGGGGAGGGAGGGAGAGGAAAGAGAGAAAGAGAGGGAGAGGGGAAAGAGAAAAAGAGAGAGAAAGAGAGAGAGAGAGGAAGCGCAAGTGCCTCTCTCTCCCCCCTCCCTCTCTCTCTCTCACACACACACACTGAGTGGAGGAAGAGGACTGGCAGACCAAGGGCAGAAAGAGGGAGGGAGGGAGAGGGAGAGGAGGGAGAGAGAGAGAGAGACCCTTTTGACATCTAAAATGAAGATAACACTGAAGATATATATATAATAAAGGTAAAAAAGGATATATGCAGTGTTATCTTCATTTTAGATGTCAAAAGGGTTTTGCAGCTCCCAGTGTTTTGTTTTCGATGGGAAACGGGTCCAAGTGGCTCTTTGAGTGTTTTGGGTTGCTCACCTCTGCTCTACCCATACAGTGGCTCACCATTGGCCAGAATGGGCAGTGATGGAGGGGGGAGTGCTTCTTTCGAAACATCGCATGCTGTTTTGTGTGTCTCTTTGTATTGTACTTTTTTAGCATGCACTCCAGTTCGATATTATATTTTCTTTGTGACTTTTTAATCCTTTTTACAGTGTTTGTGACTATATATACTTTCCTCGAATCTTAATTTAGTTTCAGAGTTTTCGTCTTGAAATTCTTAGTTCCTGCATTGCGGTTTGTTCTTATGCCCTTTTTATATTTCTTTTTGCATCTTAAATTTCACTTGTAATTCAATCATTAAATGTTACTGTTTTTCTTTTTGGGCATTTCACTTTCTTGCAGTTGAATTTTGTTTTCAATGGTCATTACATTTAAGTGTCTTGAATAAATAAGATAATAATGAAATACATGTATCACGAAGTCTGGGAATAAAGTGACGGGTGGCACCAAAATTTTTCACACAGTTGAGATATGGAAAAAAGACTGGAAATAAATTATTTGCATCATATGTCCTGATGACAATTTTAAAGAAAACAAAATAAGTGTTTGCATAAATTGAAGAATTATTCCCTATGTTGTGATTGAGAGGTTATGTTGGGGGAGGGGGCGATGACAACTTCCTCATTGGCTCAAGGGGGCGATTCGTTCAAAAAGGTTGAGAACCACTGATTTAGAGAATGACTTCTGCAATAGCCACAATATAAAGCAGCAGCAACAGCTTTCCTGAATTAGTTGGTAGGCTTCTAAAATTTGCCGCTGAACTATGATCCATTATGGATTTTAGTTCTATACCCCTAATAGATCCTAACTAAAGTTAAGATTAAAACTGTGCTAAATAAGATTCCTGTTTGGTTGGGGTAGGGGGAAGAGTCCCCCCCCCATCTCTTGACTCAGTTTCTGCCCACCTAGAAGTTTGAAAGCATGTTCTATGTGGGTAGATAAATAGGTACCACTTTGTGCAAAGGACGAGCCAGCACCTCATACGATTAGAATCCTTCTGGACCTTCCCAATTGCAACGCACGCTTGTGAGGCAGCTTCAGTGGAGGGAGAGGGCCCCAGATGCTGCTGCAGGAAACCCGTTGTCTTTCTTTCTGGAATGGAGCTAGCTCACCCCCTGTGGCGGATCTTGGAAAAACGCATGAGCGTGAATGAAACAGGGCTAGCAATGTTAGGTAGCCAAACTTATTACTCTGCATTAGAATTGTAGTTTCCTAGCTAATGTAACTTTGCCTTACACTGAATAAATAAATTAAACACAATGAAAATTTTTTAGACATTCTGCTATTTGGTCAAAAGATCTGCCAGAGTTTGACCTAGTTAAAGGTGACTTTCAAATTGGTTTCATTTTTAGAATTTAAATGAAATAGCTCCTTTTTCCTATCACAGCCTATTTATTTTACCTACCCTTTTCCTTTCTGCAGGGTTGTCCATGCTTTGGGGATTCTGAATGGCGCTCAGCTCCTGTCCTTGAAAAAGGATGAGTTCAGAGCTATCAACCCAGAAGAAGGACCTCGAGTCTACAGCCAGGTTACCATCCAGAAAGCCCTCCTAAAGGTACCAGGGATTTTGAAATTTCTTCTAAGGGTTGAGAAAAGTGTGGTGAACTGAGACCGTTCTTGACCATTCAGACCTCAAGGAACTAAGAAATCTAGCACGATTCAGCAAAGATATAAGGATTGGAGGGGGAGGGCTGAGTGGGATGAGACTATGCAAAAGTTTCAAAGAAGTAGATAACATAAGGAGAGTTTTGTGCTTGAAGATAAGAATCAGAATCAGAATAACAGTTGCAAGGGGCCTTGTGGGTCATCTAGTCCAACCCCCCACCCAAGCAGGAGATCCTACAGCATTTCTGACAGATGACAGTCCAGTCTCTTCTTGAAAGCTTCCAGTGATCAAACTCCAACAACACGTGAAGGCAAACTGTTCCATTGGTTGATTGTTCTCACTGTCAGGAAATTTCTCCTTATCTCTAGCTTGAATCTCTTCTTGATAAGCTTCCATCCGTTTTTCCTTGTCTGGCCTTCAGGTGCTTCGGAAAATAGGTTGAGCCCCTCCTCTATGTGACAGCCCCTCAAATATAGGAACACTGCTATCATGTCTCCCTTGATCCTTCTCTTTACTAGACCAGCTATGCCTAGTTCCTGTAACCGTTCTTCATATGTTTGAGCCTCCAGTCCCATAATCATCTCTGTTGCTCTTCTCTGTACCTTTTCTAGAGTCTCAACATCTTTTTTATAGTGTGGAGACCAAAATTGGTTGCAGTATTCTAGGTGTGGTCTTACTAAGGCTTTATAGCAGGGGTGTCAAATTGCCAGCCTGCAGGCTGGATGCAATCTAGCAAAACTATGCCCCTCCCCCATTGCCGGCAATAGCAAAAAAGTCACAATATGTCACATCACATGATGTTGCGAGTTTGACATCCCTGTTTTATAAAGTGGTATTAGTACCTCACACAATCTTTTTATTTATTTATTTAAAAAAATTTATAAATTTATTACAATATAAATCCCCCCACCCCTTCCCCCCTCCCCCACTTCCCAGAGCTGATTACAGCAGTGGTTCTCAACCTGTGGGTCGGGACCCCATTTGGGGTCAAACGACCATTTCATGGGGGTCGCCAAACCATGCTGTCCGCCATTTTTTTCCCTTTTCCCTAGCTGTCCTACTCCCTCTTATTGGTGGCCACACCCACTTGGGGGTCACCACAACATGGGGAACTGTATTATGGGGTCACGGCATTAGAAAGGTTGAGAACCACTGGATTACAGGATAAAAAATAAAATAAACAAACATAATCTAACTAATATTGATCAACTATACTATCAATCAAAACATAACATACTTTAACTCCTTCTCCTAACAAATATTAACAAATTAAGTCAAAAATAATAAAATAATTAAAACTAATAATAATTATCTAGAATCTACTCAAAAGCAAGATAATACTTTTCAATCTCATATTTCTTCTGAATGTAATCAATCCATCTTCTCCAAACCATAATATATTTTTCTTGTGAATGATCCTTCAAATAGGCGGAGATTTTCGCTATGTCTGCTAAATTAGACACTTTAAGTATCCATTCTTCCAAAGTAGGCAATAAGTTTTTCTTCCAATATTGCCCCACCAAATAATCTTGCAGCTGTTATAAAGTTCAACATCAAATTAATTTCTTTAACATCAAAATCTACAATACCTTGATTGAATCCCTCTGTTAATGCAATTTAGGATTGCAAAAAAAAAAACAAAACAATGCAATCCTAAGTTGCATTAACAGAGGGATTCAATCAAGATTGTGTACCTCACACAATCTTGATTGAATCCCTCTGTTAATGCAACTTAGGATTGCATTAGCTTTTTTGGCTGCTGCCAAACACGGTTGCCTCATATTTAATTGATTGTCCACTAAGACTCCAAGATCCCTCTCACAGTTGCTGCTATTAAGCCTGGTTTCACCCAATCTATATGTGTACTTTTGGTTTTTCTTGCCTAAGTGTAAAACTTTACTTTTCTCTACATTGAATTTCATTTTGTTAGATAGAGCCCAGATGAGCACTTCATTCTTAATTTTCTCTTTTTTCTTCTAGGATTCTGGGAAAATGTCAGAGCTAGAGGTCGTGATGGCAAGACAAAAGATAAAAGCAGAAGGATTGGACTAATAGAGCTCTCTTCTTGTGTGGTGATGTGACTTTGCTAAAGCAATGTGGAAATTCAGATTCCTCTCTCTACAGGATCAGAATCTAGCCTGTGTAGGATCAGTGTGAAAGAATTGGTTGTAATTGTTACTGTGGGTGTGTTTTATTTTAAAAAGAGAGATTTGAGAATACCAGGAAGTTTGATTTGCCATCAAACAAGAGAAACTTCCTGGTATTCTCAAATCTCTCTTTTTAAAATAGAGGTCATGGAACAATATTCACTCTCCCCCTTCCTTAATCCCCAAATTAAAAAAAAAGGAAATAATTGTGACCTATAAGATCTACACTTTCTCCATTTTGGAACAATTGCTTATCTCCTTGTAGAATTAGCTCTCAATCTTTCAGTAGGGAAATACTAATATGGTATAGTATGCGCTATTACATCATCTATTTAGTTCTTTCATTAAACATCAGTCGGAATATTATTGAACAAATTTTTTTTCAGATGTATGGCCTCATGAACTATGCATGTAAATCTACATAAAATCAATGATTTTATACACAGTTTATTTAATCCAGTTCATAGATCAGCACAGGAAATGTAATCAGAGTTCTACCTGCGTGTTCAGTGAGTAACATTTTACAACTCTATGAACTTTTAAAGCAAATCATCCTGTCTAGCCACAATGACTCCACCTGTTCTTTTTTTAATAGATTGGTTCCTGTGAAATAATAGCTCAACATTAAAAAAATGTTAAATAATCTAAGTAAGTATGTGTCATGAAAAGTGATGAATTACTATTACAAGAGTTAATTGCTTTAAATTCAGAGGCCTTTGTCACAGAACAATACACTTTTGGCCACTAGATGGCAGTCGGCAGCCTCTATGGGCAAACCAAGCTGTTTAACTACAGATAATTTCCCTGTAAATCAAAAAGATTTAGCCAGATTTTTAACAGCTTGTTCCTATTGTCCTGAAAGCATTTTTTATGGGGAAAATGAACTGAATCAGCTGCTTTGAAGGAATCTTATGCAAGAAAATGTGATGTTTCAACTAAAAAAAAAAGCCTTTATGATAAAATGGGACCATTTGCTGTGCTTCAGTTTCATTATGGTGTGTATTTGTGTATATGTGTGTTAGCTAGTTATTTAATTAGTTCTTTTTTTCCAATAGCTTTCTCACAATTTGATGAACATATGTTGAACAGTGCACCATAATTTTGATTGCTGTTAAAACAGTTTTCATTAGAAGTTTCTTGAGTTCAGTTTTACCCCTAAATCTACTAGCAGTTCTGCACAGATTGTTTACTCACAAGCTGCTGTAAATTGTTGTGGAAGCGAAAGGTGTGGATGGCAAAAATCACTGTAAGCTGCTTTCCCATAATTAATGCCAATATTCCCAATATTTATTTTAAGCCTATTTATATGAAATTATTGTTGTTAATATTTGTTTTAAAAAGATTGATTTTTAAAATTTCTTTAAAAAAAATTGATTTTGAAAATTCTCTAGAACAAGTCCCTAGTTAAGTTGCCTATTAAGCAAAATGGGTTTCTGAGCAGCATGTAAAATCTCCCAGGAAATAAGATTTCAAATAACATTTTTAAGGCCAGAAATTCTGTTCTACGGCTGCTTTACATGGGACCATTTTTGCAGAAGGACTAAGAATCAATTCCAAGATTATCTATTCCTTATGGTGGCATTAGTGAATCCAAAATACAGGTAGTCCTTGACTTACAACAGTTCATTTAGTGACCTTTCAAAGATAAAACTGCACTGGAAAAAAGTGACTTATGATTGTTTTTCACACTTAAAACCATTGCAGCATCTCCATGGTCACATGATCAAAATTCAAATACTTGGCAACTGATTCATACTTATGACGGTGTCCCCTTTGCAACCCTCTGACAAGCAAAGTCAATGGGAAAGCCAGATTCACTTAACTAATTCATTCTCTAATTTAACATGTGTAGTGATTCAATGAACAAATGTGGCAAGGAAAGTCATAAAATGGGGCAAAGCTCACTTAACAAATGTCTCGCTTAGCAACAAAACTTTTGGGCTCAATGGTGGTTGTAAAGCGAGGACTACCTGTAAGGGATTTCAATTTAATTTGCAGCTGGCAAATTTAGTGCAGTCCAAAAAAACTCACACAGGAGACCATCTCTCATTTATAATTGGTTAAAATTTGCACATGTTATGTCTGTGGTTTATTTTCTCCAAACTTCCTGAGAGGCCCGGCTGCTTGTTTGCTGTAGTGGGACATGATGGAAATGCGGTATCTCTTATTGTTTCAGGACTTGGGGAGGTTTTATGGAAGACATTGTTAATTATATTAAAATCTGTAAATAAATGTTTCAAACAATAATCTACCTCGTGGTTCATTTCCAGTAATGCGCGCAAGCAGTGAATAATATGGCAACTGATGCAAGTTCACCGATCTGTTAATCTCATAATTCATTGACCATTTATTGACATACCGATGTTTTCATTTCACCCGGTAGAAATAGCCCTCTGGATTGATCTGTTTTAATGGCAGAGTTTCAGCTGTATTCTTCCATGTTAAACCATTATATAACTTCATGGCTGTTGTTTCTCCTAAAACTCGTTATTCTTATTTATTCTGTTTTTATAAACTGGGGTCCTGTTAAAATTATCCCAAGCTAATTCACATTAGAATGAGGTCAAATTATTTCAAGAGACTAGTAGTGCATTATAGGGCTAAAAAGAATGTTAGTGGGTTTACCTTCTTCTTAGTTTTGTGATATGAAATGGGATTATCCAGGTGTGATGTAAGGAACCATGAAATGAAAAGAGGAGAGAGATAAATGTTGAAGAAATGGCAAAAAATATTTTACATTTACTGTAGAAGGGCAAAACATCAAAATATTTCCACCATTTTCTTCCACTGGTTCAGTTTCTGCATCAGCTTTCCACATCAAGTCTGGTCTAAGTTCCCAAGATCTTTCTCCACCCCATGATTGACTGATTCCTTGTTCTGGCTTTTTTCTTGAGAGCTCAAGATTGTGTCTGTAATGTCCCAAATGTAGAACATAGAATAATGGATGAGACCTTGGAGATCTTCTAATCCAAACCCCCCCCCCCCAGCTCAAGGCATGAGCCCCTATATCATTCCAGACAAATGGCTATCCAATCTCTTTTTTAAAACCTTAACTGATGGAGCACCCACAACTTCTGGAGGCAACCAATCCCACTGATTGCTTTCACTGTCAAGAAAGTTCTCCTTAATTCTAGACTGAATCTCTGATAATGTTCCATCCATTATTTTTTGTCCTGCTCTCAGGTACTTTGCAGAATAGGTCAACACCACCACCCCTTCTCAGTGACAGCCCCTCAAATACTGTCTATGGAGATGCTCAATCATCCAGGTCATAGTTATCCCAAAGCTGCTTTTTCATGAGGCAACTGGATTTTGTTGTTTTTCTCTGAAGACGTTTTGCTTCTCATCCAAGAAGCTTTTTCAGCTCTGAGCTTTGAGCTGAAGAAGCTTCTTGGATAAGAAGTGAAATGTCTTCAAAGAAAAACAACAAAGTCCAGTTGTCTCATGAAAAAGCAGCTTTGGGACCCCTCAAATACTGGAAGGCTGCTGTCATGTCATCCCTAGTCTTTCTCTTCATTAGACTAGACCAGGGGTAGGGAACTTGGCTCTTTTGTGACTTGTGAGTTTCAATTCCCAGAATTCCTGAGTCAGCATGGCTGGTTCAGGAATTCTGGGTATTGAAGTCCACAAATCATAAAAGAGCCAAGGTTCCCTACCCCTGGACTAGACCTACCAAGTTCCTGCAACCATTTATCATTATGTTTAGTTTCTAGTTCCCTAATTATCTTTGCTGTTCTTTTCTGCATTCTTTCTAGAATCAGAATAGAGCTGGAAGGGATATTGGAAGTCCCCTAGTCCAACCCCCTGTTCAAGCAGGAGATCCTATATCCTTTCAGATAGATAGCTGTCCAGTCTCTTCTTTAAAACTTCCAGTGTTGGAACATTCACAACTTCTGAAGGCAGGTTGTTCCATTGATTAATTGTTCTAACTGTCAGGAAATTTCTCCTTAGTTCTAGGTTGTTTCTCTCCTTGATTAGTTTCCATCCATTCTTTCTTGTCTTGAATTCTGGTGCTTTGGAAAATAAGTTGACCCCCCTCTTCTTCGTGGTAGCCCCTCAAATACTGGAATACTGCTATCATGTCATAGTGACCAGAACTGGATGCCATCTCATCATTTTATCCTAACAGCAACAACTCTTTGAACTAGTTAGGCTAAAAGAAAAACTCAGTGAGCTCCATGATCTGATGAGAACTTAACTTGGAGTTTCTCCATACCTATCCAATACCTCAGCTGCTATTTCTGCACAGCTCTTTACTAAGATCAAGGGTCCTTCTCTTCTTCCCTCCCAGTGCTGGGTAGAAACCACAAAGCCGCTTATTTGGGCTCATTTGGAGGAAAGCAGGTCCAAGCAGTTTGTTTTGAAGAAAGTGTCTGGATTTTGCAACTTGAATGTTGTGGTGAGCACTGTTTATGGAGCAGATTCTTCTAATTCCTGACAGAGAAGCCCAGACCCTTTCAGAGCGGGTTTGAGCTTGCTTTGGAGGGTGGATCCCAACATAGGCTTGGCCTGCCAACTTCAACCGGCCAGGCAGAATGGAGTGGGGGGAAATGTTGACTCCGTCTTGCCTGGCACGTTGGATCCATGGGTAGTGGTTGATCCCACAAACTCATAATAGCTCAATGAGGTATCCAGAAGTCTCAAGATAAGCAGTGGCATGTGCTGAAGATGGAATGCGAGTTCTGGTTTGACAAGGGTATTTAGGACAGGGTTGGGAGCTACTGAGAGGATGACTCAATCCTGGCGAGAAATATCACTTCAGTTGCCAAATTCCATATATTGCCACATCCACACACACAGCCCTTCAGGGATCTTCCCCTTGCTATATATTTCCTAACCAACAGCCATCTCCATTAGGGAAGCAATCATAGAAGATGCTGGGAATAGGGTAGAGCTGGAGGAAAACCCAGAATTTTCTTATGGGTTATTCAGTTAAGTAGTTATGTGGGTCTCGGATTTTCTTTTCAATGAGTTGGCAAACCAGGATGTATCTTTGTGGACAGCTGGCAAGAGACCCACAGGAAGACTGGCAACTGCTTGAACAGTCACACCCATCAGAAGATCATAAATAATTCTCAATCATCCTGGAGAAGTTTCAAATAGAGCTCAGAAGAGCTCCAGCTTTGCTTCTGTGTTATTCAACATATTTACTAGAAAGTGGAATAGATGAAAGCGATGCTTATCAAATTTGCAGATAATAGATTAGACTCTAAACAAAAAAATCACCGAACATATTTTAATTTCGAACGTTGTTTCAAATCCAACATGATGATGTTCAGTGGTGACCAATGTGAAGTCTTCCATCTCAATAGAGGGGGAAAAAATATAAATACTGGACTAGGGAGATCTGGTTTGGCAGAAGTAAACATGAGAAGGATCTATCCAACTGAATATGAGCAAGTAGTGAGATGCAGCAGTTAAAAAGATTGATATAGGATTTTTGCAATACCAATGCTAGAAGGAATTGTCCCATTGTACTCTTTGCTGGTTAGATTTCATTTGGAGTTATGGTGGGTTCAGGACACTGCACTTTAAAAGAGACACAGAAAAGCTGAAATGGGTTCAGAGAAATAGAATCAGGGTTAAGGGGTCTACAAACCAAGTCCCACGAGGAACAATTAAAGTCCCTGGTCATATTTAACTTGCAAAGTGACAATTGGTATAATAATAACTACATAACTCTTTAAGAGTGTAACATATCTAGAGTATCTGTTGATACCATGAGCTTGATAAGGACCAAGGATTAAAATGAAAAGAACAAAGATTCAGGCTGAGTATTAGGAGGAATTTAAACTTGCTACAGTTTCCAGAAATACTTCTTGTTTTCCCTTTAGTGGAATTTTGTAAATGGAGTCTTGGGTGACCACCCATCGAGGAGACTTGAGTGGATCCCTACAAAAGTGAAAGTTTGGATTATATGGCGAATGAGCTGTCTATCAGACAGACAGCTCACACATTCCACATACATTTCTTGCCTACCTCATCTGACCACAGAAAATTAAGTATTAAAGATAATTGGACTGACTAGTCTCCTCTTTAACACTATGGAGAGGGATTCTTTATCTGTTCTGTTCTCTGTGGAGAGGGATTCTCTATTATTTGTAGGAAGCAGCTTTCAATCATGTAAGCCCTTATCCATACTCCAGAAAAATCCAAATATAAGTTGATCATCTCAGTGGGGAAGAATTAGGTAACCAAAATTACAAAAGCAACAACTGTGAAAAGCTTAGGAGTAATTTTTCTGCCTGGGCTGCTACCCTTCTAAATTGTAGCCTTGTGAAACGAAACTCCCTCTCCATCTCTTAAAATTGGAGGACAACATCTGATGGAGAATTATGAATTTATTTGACATTGTCCCATTACTAAGCTCACATTTAATGACCAGTTTAGACAAACCACCAATCAAACAGTGAGGTTTTTCCTGATTCCTGGAGTTTGCTACAGAGGGATATAGATTTTATTATCCATGTGGACATTTATGCATTCATATATTGTTTTTGAGTATGAGCCACAGCTCAGTGTTAGGATGAGCTCCAGTTCATTCCAAGTGGGGCTGAAATTTTAAAAACAAGGATAGTAGACAATACAATTAGAATGATCTGATGTGATAGAACAGTGGTTCTCAACCTTTTTAATGCCGCGACCCCCAACCGGTCGTAAGTCGAGGACTACTCAACCGGTCGTAAGTCGAGGACTATTCAATTGGTGCAGCACCGTTTGCAGAATGGGACTTTTGGCGGGCTCAGCAAGGCAGAGACAGCCTGGACAATTCCTATTGGCTTTTGAAAGCCAATAGAATTAGACTCTATTCAAGAGAGTCTATTCTGTTGGCTTTCAAAAGCCAATAGAATAAAAGGGAGTAGCACAGATAAGGAAAAGGGGGAAAAAAATGGCGGACTGCGTTGTTTGGCGACCCCCGTGAAATGGTCGTTCGACCCCAAATGGGGTCCCGACCCACAGGTTGAGAACCACTGTGATAGAAGACTGCACCTTTTTTCTTCATTCCATTCGGGCCTTGTGTTTGCTATGGTCATTACCTTCCTCTATGCATCAAATGAGTCCCTGCCATTTCTGTTCATTCCTCCTTTCTCCCTCAGGTCTGAAGCTTTCCTCAGCTGGTCTTTGAAGAACAGCTGTTTTAAGAAGCCAATTCCAGCCAATGCTCCCTTGAGTTTCCTTTGAGCAGTGGCTCACAGGTTGTCTAGTATTCTAGCAGAGCCTGGATCGGCAATTAAACCCAGCCTCAGTTGTGTTTCTTTGAGGCCTACGATTGCCCAACTCTTTTCTAGATGTGTGTGCCATGTAGAGGCATATGTCTTTGGCTCCTCTGCCTTTCCCCCACTTAAAGCCCCAGTACTCATTGAATTCAGTACAACTCCCCTGGGAAAGTGCAGCCAAAACAGCTGGTTTTCAGCGCCTTTGGCTCCAGTCAAGAAGCTTGTGTTTAACCAAAAGCATTTGGAGTGGCTGTTTTCATTCTGAAACAGGATCCCGCCAGCTCAGCTCTGACCCCAGAGCACGGGCTAAAGAAACCGGGGAGGCACACTGTGGGGCCATGCGCTACCTTCCGCCAATCCGTGTGCCCACTCATTTTTGGAGCTGTGCTGAATTGTTCCCCATCCACCCAGTCGGCCGTTTCTTCTTTGCTAGTCATTAATCCTGTCAGAAAATCCACTTCCTGCCCTCATAAAATGCACTCCTTTTATGTCTTCCTCATCTCCAGCCCCAGCATTTTTATGCAGAGCATGTTTGGTTTGCAGTGTGCAAGACTATATTTACTGGCAAAGGCTCCCATTAAGTCTCACAAGGAATGTCATTAGTCAATTTTATAACCAATAAACCGAGGCATTCTTGAAAATAAATGGGGATACTTTGCTTTGAGAGATCTAAAGGAATGACCCATTTCCCTTTCTTCCTTTACCAAGATCTGAGAAACGGGTGACAGACTGCAGCTCCCATCATCCCTGCTGGCTGGAGATGACTACAACAGGAATCAAACGATGTCTGTAGGGTTTACTGTAGATGGTAAAATGGTGAGGTAAGGGAAAAGTTTACTCAACTGAGCATCTTGAATTCATCTCTTCTTTGGATGGTACCATCCAGTGCTCCTTCTTTGTCTCCTTTTTCCTAGGCCAATTTATACGCAGTCCTGATGGCCTAAATCTGACCTTATACTGTCTCCTCACTACTGTGGGGAATAAACTCTGATCCGTGTCTTACTCCAAGCTGGGAGAGAGACACTGGAAAAATGAATAGGAGGCACGTTGCAATTTTAGGTCTCTATTTATTTGGTAGCCAGAAACATCAGTGACAGCAGCATGCTTCTCAGGTGGCTGACCAAAAAAATAACCTGATGAGTACATTTTTTATATAGTTTTAGGGCTTTGAAATTGAAATATTTTCGATTAGTTGTGAAATGTTTCTTGAGTATGTGTGAGGATGTGTCCTTTAATCTTCAGATTGTCTGAGGTGTTGTGTCCTGTTCTAAGAGTCTTTTATATTCCTGTAGCCCTGTAAGTGGTATGTGTTCTTCTACAATTCCAATAACGGCCAATTGAATTTTCTATCCCAGTTCATCAGGAGTTTTCTCAGCAGTGTCCAGTAGTTCAAACCAATTTTTCACCTCTATTGTATATGCAGTAGGGATTTTGATGACATCTTTGAAGGCATTGCTTTTTTGATGGTGTATAATTTGACTTTAATCTTTGCCACCAAGTCATGATCTGATCTGCAATCAGCACTTGGATATATGTCTTAGCAGCAAGGACTGAGCTAGTCCATCGATGACTGCATAGGACACAGTCAATCTGATTATGGTGAAGTCCATTTGGTGAGGTCCAAGCAGCTCTTGTGCTGCTTGAACTAGATATTCATGATCCTGAATCTGTTTTCTTGGCAAAATTGTACCAAAAGATCACCTGCATTGTTCCTCTCACCTAGTTCAAAACAACCAGTGATGCCAAAGTGACTAATAAGCAAGTACTGGAACCTGTAACAGCAGACATGTCACTAGAAGACAAAATCACAAAACTGTGTCTCACTTATTTTGGCTATGTCATGCAGGGGAATTCATTGGAGAAAGCAATTATATTTGAAAGAGCTTGCAGTAAAAGGAAACCAGGCAGTCAACAAACACAGCAGCTGGACACCATCAAAGCTGACACCAGCCGGAGCATAGAAAAACTCAAAGAAATATTGCAAGATCGGAAGATGTGGAGAGAGACCTGGCCCATAGAATCGCCAAGAGTAGGATTCGGCTGAATGGATAACAGCATCATCATTAGCCCCACCTGTACATTGAATGATTAGTCAATCTGGAGGCCAGTGAGGAGACCAAATAGCTAAGACAACCCTGCAGGCCATATTCCTACGCAAGTGATGTGCTTTGCTGCCAATTTACAGTCAGTCCTTGACTTACAACCATTCATTTAGAAAAAAGTGACATGATAGGTCCCCGCACTTACAACCATTGCAGCATCCCCACAGTCACATGATCAGATTTTGGGTGCTTGGCAACCAGCATGTATTTACAACAGTTGCAGCATCCCAGGGTCCCTTCCCAACCGACCTACAACAAGCAAAGTCAATTGGGGAAGCTGGACTTGCTTAATGACCACATGATTCACTTATCAACTGCAATGATTTGCTCAACAAGGATGGCAAAAACATTTGTAAAATTGGGCGTGAATCACCTAATAGCTGCCTTGCTTAGCAACAGAAATTCTGCTTCCAATTGTGATTGTAAGTCGAGGACTAACTGTGTTTGTTGACACAGAGGGAGCTCAATTATTGTGATGGAACTATCCTTAATTCCTTTGCTACCCAGTGGGATACGTTTCACCAGATAAATTAATCTAAAGGAAGGAGAGAGAATGTTTGGAAATCACAAGCAGAATTTTGATTCGATACTAAATCAAATCTGGCAACTGGGTGAACAATCCTCACGACAAGGTTTGGGAGTTAATTCATGATTTGCTGAGGGAAAATGCCACAGAGATTTGGCTATCCAAATGCAGCTAAATGGCTTTTTCTTTCAGTGGTAAGGAAAGTTTCCAAAATTCTTCAGTCATAATGTGTCATCCTACTGGACCTCCCATGGTGAAATAGGCCTCTATTGCTTCTTATTGACCAATGGTTCTCAACCTTTTTAATGCCGCGACCCCCAACCGGTTGTAAGTCGAGGACTACTCAACTGGTGCAGCACCGTTTGCAGAATGGGACTTTTGGCGGGCTCAGCAGGGCAGAGACAGCCTGGACAATTCCTATTGGCTTTTGAAAGCCAATAGAATTAGACTCTATTCAAGAGAGTCTATTCTATTGGCTTTCAAAAGCCAATAGAATAAAAGGGAGTAGCACAGCTAAGGAAAAGGAGGGGAAAAAATGGCAGACTGCGTTGTTTGGTGACCCCCGTGAAATGGTCGTTCGACCCCAAATGGGGTCCCGACCCACAGGTGGAGAACCACTGTTATTGACTGTCTGCAGGCTGGAGCGACATGGAGGCCCTTTGGGAAATTTCTAGCCCTATTCAGAATGTGTGAAATGAGACTGCAGGGCTGGGACGTCCCAGAGATGTATAAGACACTCATCTTTTCCTCTCCAGTCACTTGGAGCAATTCAGTGTTCTTTGGGATCTGCAAATAATACTTTCATGGTACCAATAATATCCGTGGATATGATGGAAACTTGGAGAAGTCCTAGGAAACACCCATCTTAATAACAGGGCTGCAGGGAACAAAGGCTATTGAGTTGTGCTAGCACAGTGTTAGCTACGCCAGGGAAGATCCTATCTCCATCAGCTCTATGAAGGAGACTCACTTCCCACAACTTTGATGGTATCATAGCATGGCTGTTCTTAGGATCTGCATCCAAATTTTCCCAATCCCACTCTTGGCTGGTGATATCATGAAAGACAATTACAGAAAATGTGTAGCTTTGCACCCTAGAGAGGTTGGTACTGCTGTCTGGAAAGTCCTGAATCACTTTCTTTTTAGTGTGGTCAACCTCATGGAGAAAATTGTGCTGTAGGGCCAAAGGTTATCCTATGTAGGAAGAGTATCTGAATCAGATCTGGTTATTTTCAGGGCAGCCTCTCCGAAATCCTTGTGGAATTCTGAGGAATTCGAGAAACAAGGAAGTAGCAATTATGCTTGCTTGAAAAACAGTGAAAGGGTTGTGCTCCCCCCCCCTTTTTGGCATTTTCCCTACTTCCATAGAGTTGTAAGGAACACAAGGGAACGCTAAACTACTATAACAGAGTAACAGAGTTGGAGGGGACCTTGGAGGTCATCTAGTCCAACCCCCTGCTCAGGCAGGAGACCCTATGCCATTTCAGACAAATAGCTGGCCAATCTCTTCTTAAAAGTGATGGGACACCCACAACTTTTGAAGGCAAGCCGGTTAATTGTTAATTAACAATTGGTTAATTGTTTTCACTGTTAGGAAATTTCTCCTCAGTTCTAGGTTGCTTCTAATGCTTACTAGTGTGGCTAGTGCAGTGGTACTCAACCTGTGGGTCGCAACCCCATTTGGGGTCGAACAACCATATCACGGGAGTCGCCAAACAACGCAGTCCGCCATTTTTTCCTTTTCCTTAGCTGTGCTACTCCCTTTTATTCTATTGGCTTTTGAAAGCCAATAGAATAGACTCTCTTGAATAAAGTCTAATTCTATTGGCTTTTGAAAGCCAATAGGAATTGTCCAGGCTGTCTCTGCCCTCCTGAGCTGCCAAAACTCCCATTCTGCAAACGGTGCAGCAAGTTGTCTGCAGCGAAGGCGAGCTATCTGGAAGTTTCCACCCCTCCCTGCTGAGCAGCTATTAAAAATATAAGTAAAAGAGGGCCAGGGGTGGGAGGTGGGAGGCCGGCGGGCACAGGGAGGGTTGCTGGCGCGCGTGGGGCCCAGCGGGTGCCTTACCTCCCTTGGGCTGGGCCAGCTGGTGGCCCATTCGGTGGTCGGCCTGCTCTGTCTCTGCCGCTTGCCAGCTATGCCTCGGCAGGTGCAGGGGGCGGCACCATGCATGCGCGGCACTCCCGGGCAGGGAACATCCTTGACTTACGACCGGTTGGGTAGTCCTTGACTTACAACTTGTTTAGTCCTCGACTTACAACCAGTTGAATAGTCCTCGACTTACAACCGGTTGGGGGTCGCGGCATTAAAAAGGTTGAGAACCACTGGACGAGCGAATACCGATGACTAGAAGTATCATATGTGGGCTACAAAAATTGAGATAACCATCAGAGGACAACAAGCAATACAGAAAATTTTCTTCCTTTCCTGCCAGCTAGTGGTCATCCAGTTTTTTGCAGCCCAGAAATGGTAAGCTTGTTAGTGACAATTCGTTCGTCCAGTAATATTTAAATACTTACTACATCAAGAATTGTCTTTGTCAAATAAAACCACATGGTGGTTGGCACCTATGCCTGGCTGATACTGAAGACCTGCAAAGAACTGTTTGCCTGGTTACCTGGATTGAAAGTTCCCTCTAAACAACCATAATACATCTTGGTTACAGGAATGGAATATAAAATGGATAAATTAATAAACTAGGCAACTTCAGCTGGCTTTTTATTTCTACATGCAGGTAGTCCTCAACTTACTATCACAATTGTTACCAGAATTTCCACTATTAAGTGAAACAGTTGTTAAATTAGTTGCACCTAATTTTATTACTGTTTTTTTTAACCGTGATTGTCAAACAATTCACTTCAGTTGTTAAGTGAATCATGCAGTTGTTAAGCAAATCTAGTTCCCCCATTGAGTTTGTCAGAAGCTGGCTGGAAAGGACTCAAATGGCAATCACATGGCCAACATGCTGGTTTCCAAGTGCCTGAATTTTAATCATGTGACTGTGGGGATGTCCAACAGTTGCGAGTGTGAAGATCGCTTGTAAATCATTTTTTTTTCATTGCCATTGTAACGTTAAAGCAGGGGTCTTTAACTTGGCTCTTTTATGACTTGTGGACTTCAACTCCCAGAATTCCTCAGCCAGGCATGCCTGGCTGAGGAATTCTGGGAGTTGAAGTCCACAAGTCATAAAAGGGGCACGTTTGAAGACCCCTGCTTTAAATGGTTGCTAAATGAATGGTTGTAAGTCAAGCACTACCTGCACTTCATATCTGTATAAGGCATACCAATATCTACAGGCAGATAAGCTAGTATTGTAAATTGTATTTGTTTCTCCTGTTGTTATTCTCACAGCAACCTTGTAGATTTGATCAAGACATTTTAAGTCATGCAACCCTAGGCTCTTTCTACCTCTATAGCAGGGGTCTTCAAACTTGGCAACTTTAAAACTTGTGGACTTCAACTCCCAGAATTCCTCAGCCAGCCTGGCTGAGGAATTCTGGGAGTTGAAGTCCACAAGTCTTAAAGTTGCCAAGTTTGAAGACCCCTGTTCTATAGTCTAGTAACATCTGTAGTGAGGGGTCCTTGATGCTCTCAGAACTTGGTTGTTTTCTTGCAGACATTTCATTACCCAAACTAGGTAACATCACCAGTGCATCATGAGCACTGATGATGTTACCTACGTAGTTTGAGTAATGAAATGTTTGCAAGAAAACAACCAGGCTCAGAGAGCACCAAGGACCCCTCATTTCAACCCTGAGCTACAAATATTCTCCTTTATTGGCTAACGTCTGCAGTCTAAACTTACACTTCAGGTGTAAGATCTATTTCCCTGGGAAATTTGCAAGTACCCTGTAATCAACAAGTAGTTACTCTGTGGTTCCTCTCTATTTCTTTGAGCAATTAGAAGTTTTAGCCCCAGCTTGCAGGTTTTCCCAACTGTCATACATCACTATAAACTTTCCAGACTGGCAGGAGTTCCTTTAAGTTAAATTTTGCCTGCTCTGTATATCTACCTTCAGATTCTCATGTTCGAGCCTCCCACACAGGCCAGGGCCCAGCACAGGAAATCTCAGCCTTGGGCCCAGGAGGGGAATGAGCAGTGCCTGCAACGCATTTCCTGCCCTCTACTTTGTTTGGAACCAATTGATTTACTGGGGAAATGAAAAACTTATTCCCTCCCCAGCTCAGCTGACAATATCTCTGCTGAAAATCTACTATTTACCAAACCCCCCCCCCAAAAAAAATCCATTAACTGGATGTTGGTTTTTTTTCTGGGAAAGAAAGGCATTACAGAGAGGCAGGAGATAGTTCAAAGCCAGAGGTCTGCAGCCTCTCCTATGGTTGCAGCACTAGGAAAAAATAATAATGATTTGATTCTTCTTTCTCTCAGAGACAAGCTCAGAAGTCGGCAGAATGTGATGTTTGGAGCAAATCTGACTTCTGATGGATAGTCTTCTCTTCCCACATGGCAATTCAGAGATGTTTGTGGCCAGAAAATCTGCCTGCCAGGCTGCTCTGGACACTCACAACTTTAATTCACATTAATTCCTGGAGTTTCTCAGCAGGCCTGGAGATGCCCAGGAAGAACCACCCAGCCAACCTTAAAACAACCAAACAAATATCTATGGAGGGCCTCAGTCATGGTTGTCCCAAAGGTGCTTTTTCAGGAGGCAACAGGACTTTCATTCCTTCCACAATCCTTCCATTCTCTACCATTCATTCAGAACTGAAGAAGATTCTTGGATGAGAAGTGAAACATCTTCAAGGAAAAACAAAGTAAGTTCAGTTGCCTCTTGGAAAAGCACCTTTGGGACAACCAAATAATTAGATGTACACTTAATCCATGTAGAACCTGTGGTTTATATCCATCCATTGCAAAAACTGGTGACTTATTTCTTGCTCTCTGCTTTTTAAAGACAATTTGCAGTTGTCTTTAAAATTTAATTTCCTCCAATTTGTAGAAAATCCCAATTATAGTTGATAACCTTCATATATTTTGCTGTCACTACAAGTCCTCGTCTTGTGACCACAATTGAGCCCAAAATTTCTGTTGTTAAGTGCAAAATGTATTGTTTTTCCCATTTTACAACCTTTGTTGCCAAAAATGTTAAGTGAATCACTACAATTGTTAAGTTAATAACATGGCTGTTAAGTGAATCTGGCTTCCCCATTGACTTTGCTTGTCAGAAGGTTGTAAAAGGGGATCACATGACCCCGGGACTCTGCAATCGTCATAAATATGAGTTGGATGCCAAGCATCTGAATTTTGATCACATGACTGTAGGAATGCTGCAACAGTTGTAAATGTGAAAAATAGTCATAAGTCACTTTTTCAATGGTGTTGTAACTTTGCACAGTCACTAAATGAACTGTTTAAGTCGAGGACTATCTGTCTTTGATTTTCTTTTAACAAGGGAAGGGTGCTCTGTTCTTCAATGGGTTACTGATTTTTAAGAGGACCTGTCCTCTTATCACTTTTTATTTCAAGAGCTTTTAAAAGGATTTTGTCAAAAACCTTCTCTAATGTATCTGTTGCTTTTTTCCACCAAATTTTAAAAGCCTCAAATAGAAGTTCATTCTGCCTGATCAAGGCTTGTCTTTTTTTTTATCAACTGCTTTAATAATATATTATTAAGTATGTAAAAGCAGTGTTTTTCAAACATGGCAACTTTTAAGATATGTGGGCTTCAACTCCCAGACTTCTTGAAGTTTAAGACACATCTTAAAAGTGGTCAAGCTTGAAAAACACTGTTTTCCATAATTAACATATTATTAAAGCTTTCCATCAACTTCATCAGAATAAACTGGCTGATTATAATTTCCTGGATCTTTTCTGAAACAGGAAAGAATTGCAATCAAAATGTAACTTCAAACTCAACGGAAAAAAGCAGAGACTATTGTTTTGAAAGAGAAGGAGAATTTGTCCATAATCTTGAAAGGACAGAACTGTGAAACATTTTAATACTAATTAGCTATAAATTCTGACATTAGAAAGTGTTTCTATTCCCTTTTGTCTCACATGCAATTCTAATTAACCTTATCTATGGATTCTCCTGGGAAGAAGTAATCATTTATATTAATTGGATACTAAGACAGATTTTAATATGCTCTGACCACTGCTTTATTTTCAGCTATATATCTGTTACATGGAAACTGAAGGCCACTCAATGGAGATAGATACCCTTCTTAAGATTAACATTAAGAGAATAGTCCAAAAGAGGAAAGATACATTTATGGCCCCAATTATTCTGTGGATGGAAAAACCTGATGACCTGTGATATGAATAAGTTATTTACAGAGGTAGATTATGCTTAATTACAATGAAATGGAATTGTCACATTTCACTGAAACAGCTGTGTAAAACTATATTGTACTGGTAGGTATCTATCATCTAGCTATATCATCTATCACCTCTATTATCTATTATTTGTTACCTCTATCTTATCATCTATCATTTATCAGTGGTTCTCAACCTGCGGGCCACAGGTCATCATAGAAGGTCTGTAAAGACTTGAAGAAATGTTGATTTAAATCTTGAGTTAAGTCTTGGTCCATGGCCACAGTCTGTGGCCACAAAAGGTATTTAAAAGGGATCCGTGGTGAAGAAAAGGTTGAGAACCACTGATCTACAGTATATCATCTATCAGTCAAGTTATGTATCTGTACATATATGAGAATTCACCCACCTATGTGTGTGTGCATAATTTTTATTTGCTTTTATTTTTTCTTGGTCTTGATTAACTATAAAGGGGAAATAAAGGGAAAAAATATCTCATGAACTCTCTGGCTTTCATCAATTCTGAGTTGGAATTTACTTATGGTGAGAAGCAACAGCCCTCCACAACATACTCAAAATGGTAGGACATTCCCATTTCAGTTCTGGGATGACAGCCAATATGGCAGCTGCTTAGCCCACAGATCCCTGGAACACTACCCTAGGCAACCCAATGTATATGAATTGTCTGGTGTGCAAAAACCACAATGACCCAATTCCAATCCTCATAGATTGATCACCTCATCACACTATATATAAAGCAGGCTTGATAAGGTTGTCCCTTGGTTACCAAAATTACCATTTAATTCCATATTCTATTCTTCAAACTCTCCAAGACAATTGGATTCAACTTTTTTTGATGGTTGAACAAAATGATCACATACCTTTAGCTTTAATTTACAGCAGTCTTCCAATCTTTGAGGGGCTGTCACGGAGAAGAGGGAGGGGATCAAGCTATTCTTCGAAGCACTTGAGGGCAGGACATGTAACAGATGGAAACTTACCAAGGAGAGAAGCAATCTATAACTAAGGAGAAATTTCCTGACAATAAGAATAATTAACCAGCTTGTCTTCCAAAGTTGAGGCTGGAGGTTTTTAAGAAGAGATTGGACAGCCATTTATCCAGAATGGGGTAGGGCAGGGATGTCAAACTGCTGGCCCATGGGCCAGATGCATCACGGCAAAACCACATTCACCCCATTGCTGGCAATGGCAAAAAAATTGCAATATGTCGCGACACGTCACGTGACATTGCAAGTTTGACACCCCTGGTGTAGGGTATCCTGCTTGAGTAGGAGATTGGACCAGAAAAGCTCTAACACCCTTCCAACTCTGTTATTCTATATAATATATTTGGGGGAAAAAACCCTCTATGATGCCTTGTAGGTCAAGATTAATGATTTTTCTCTGCTGTAGAAAAATCACTAAACATTTCTGCACACTTCCCCCCCCCCTTTTAAATTTCTCTGAGGAGGAAATTACTGTTTATATCCATAAGAGTTTGGGAAAATCAATTCTTCAGAAAAGGTTAAACTTTCCTTATGTTCTCATCCTAATACATAGTAGGCTCCAAACTCAATTACTATTTTTTTTAATGTAAAAATTATTTCCAGTTTGATGTTTTTGGGAAGTCAGGAGGGAAAGAGGAGAAGAAGGAAGGAGAAACAATTGTGAAGAAGAAAGAGGAAGGCTGAAGGACAGATAGTTAAGCACACATTGTAAAATGCAGATTTCTGAGTTGTAAAGAAGCTGTGATTTCTCCTCTAAATTGCTTTAAAAATTGTGGATTGGCCACGGATGGAAAAGACGGCTGTTTGTGTGCTGGCTGAAGGTCTCAGACCACTTCAAAAGTTGATTTTATCTGCCTCAGGACTCAGAAAGGGTAAGAGAAAATCTAATCAAGCATTTCAAAAGACAAGCCTAAACACTGCTCAGGATTTATATTGGCTCTGGACATGAGAAAGAATTTACTTGAAGGGTGTAATCTTATTGGAAGCTTCTGATCTTAAGGTAACCAATTCCTACAGCAATTTAGGGACAGGGAAATGGTGGGCCTCTAGATATTACAGAGTTGTAAGCATCTCCCACCATTGGTCATGCTGGCAATGGCTGATGGCTCTGGAATTCTATCCTGTGTATAGGCTACATCTTGCCAATCTGGCTTTGTGCCATGATGGGAAGTGAGTGAGTTGAACCAGGACTTGTCACAGTTTTAATCTGATTTAGTAGTTCAGCATTATCCTACTTATGTACTTTCATCTGTCAATTAACTTAGCATAATATATGTTATTTCTTTTTTTTTTTTCGAGATAATACCAGAAAAAATTATTCTGTTCCATACTGCTTACACTTTTTTTGGTGTTTTTTTTTTTTTAACAGTAGGAAGGCCAGAAACTCAGTTTAGTTAGGAATACAGAGGGATTTGTCTAGCCATTATCATTCTTAATTGACTTTGATTGCTTTAATGTCAGGTTGATTCAATTTATTGGAATTTTTCTTGGAATCTGAAATAGTTAATGTCTTTTGTGGTATATATATATGGATGTTAGGTGATAGACAGACAGACAGACAGATAGACAGATGATAAATAGGCAAATGCAACTGGTAAAAGTACTAAACAGTTAACAATTCAGCTATTGAAAGAAATATAATATATATGTTTAGAATGCATTTTTCCATATTTTTGTTATAAGAGTTTTTCAAAACTGTTTTTTTTAACAGTTGTGTGTTTGAATTATGTTGATTGTTTAGCTTTGTCTTTTAAATGTGTATGCCATCCAGAGTCATATGCATGAGTGATGGGCAGCTATATAAACCTATATAAATTTATTGAATAAATGACAACAGGTTAGGGCAGTCTGATAAATCAACATCATCATGCACATTCAGATTAATGAGTTCAAAAATAATGTTGAGTTAGTCAACTAAGAATTTCTAGACTGTTTCTAATAAAATTTTGACTGAATTTATGGCTGTTATAGCACAGTCACAGGGCACCTTCTGGCCCATAAAGATTTAGGGTTTCACCAAATACATACAGAAAAGGTTGCATCTCAGGTAAACTGTGAGGTTGCACTTCTCTACCTCTTGAGCTGTAGGGGAGGGAAGATAACCCGTTGAATGCAGCAGGATTTGGCCATAAGTAAACAAGTCACACAGGACTAAATTTAAACCTTCAGTAAAATAGTCCTTTCATTGAATCTGCAAGTTTGATTTTGATCACATTCAAAAACCGATTCAGGGTTGGAAAGCTGCAAAGACACAAAGAAGACAATCATAATCACAAGACGAGGACAGCAGCATTTGAAACACCCACAATTGGCCAAGAGACCATGTCTATAAAATTATGAGCAGCATTCTGAATGGGGACAGGAATTTTCCTGTTCTTGCTGGCTCCATGAGGGCTCTTATGGAAATTGATTGGATAGCGCATATTCAGACAGACAAACAGAAATTAATCTATGGATGTTGTTTCTACAGTATGCGGTGATGACCTCTGATAAGAAGAGAGATGACTTAAGTTTCTATTTGCCAAAGGAGGGACACTGATTTGCATTCATCCTTGGACAAACAGCAATGTTAGCACAGGAGAAAGAATTATTTCCTTACGTTGTAGCTGTTTGGGTTACAACAGGAATGCAACTTATGTCTTGTTATTAAAAAGGAGGAGACCAGAGGTCTCCCAACCTTTTGGGCACCAGGGACCGGTTCCATGGAGAGAGGTTTTTCCACAGACTGGAGGGTGTGTGGTTTTGTGTGCTGCCTGCATCTCGCTGATGGGGCTTTGCTTGTTTGTGTGGCCTGGTTGTCTGCATGCTGCAGCCCAGTACTGGTCCACAGACTGGGGGTTGGAGACCCCTGGAGTAGACCACCTGTGGCAGGTTGGGTCAGTGTTTCCGAGTTGTTTCCTTACCAAAGAGAGAAATAGATGACCATGGGGACAGTGGGGGTGGGAGGGACTTCTGACGTCCTGTTGGCTTCCCCAGTGGCAAATGACCAAATTTTTATCACGTGATCATGGGGATGCTGTGATGTTCCTAAGTGCAAGGACTGGTTCCAGTGCCATTGTAACTTTGAATGGTTGCTAATCAAATGGTTTTAAGTCAAGGACTACTTATGCATACGGTGGACCTTATACATTTACACATTTAGGCTTAATATTGCATTTGTATTTTTTTTCTCATTACTTGATTAGGAGGAGCTTTTTTATTTGTCAACTTTTTCTGAATCGTTATTTTATTTTTTTTTCCTTGAAAAGAATGGGAAAAAAGATGAAATGTGAAAGTTGAGAAAAGAAGAAAATAAAAGAAAGAGAATGGAAAAGCGAGAGGATAAAAAAACGAGAATGAGAAAAGAATGGGAGAGAAAAAGAAAAAAAAAGAACGAGAAAGAGAATTTTTTAAAAAAATGGGAAAGGGGGGGGAAAGCATGGGAACAGAAAAAAAAAATATCTTGGGGACCCCACCCAGCCATAGCTCTCCGATGCTGCTGTGGAGTCCCCAAGATATTTCCCCGGAAAATGCGATCTCCCCCAAAAAAGGCTTCATCGGGCGGCGGGGGCCACCAATTGCAAACGGCCCCTTCGCCGTTCGCACCCGCCCAGCACTCCCCGGGCACGGAGATCGGCCCTAGGAAGACAGCAGCAGAGGCCGGACGTGCTGGCGGCGGAGGGGTCGGAGCAGGAGGCTAGAGCAGCAGGCTGTTCCCGAGTCACTCCCTCCTCCCCAAAACTCCCAGACCCGGGAAGCGAGCGGTGCGCGAAGCTGCGTTTTGCTTGGGTTTTTTCTTCTTCGTCGTCTTAGATCCAGCGGCCCTTCGTGTCACCTGAACACAGGATCCTTCCTCTCCCGCCTGCTTGCTTTGCATTCACACACGCCGGAAAGAGGCAGACGGGCCCATGCTTTATTGCACGTGCGAAGCTGCCTCCTCTCGTTCAGTCATTCAGTCGCCCGGCGCCTACTACCCACCCGACTCTCGCCCGCCTATGTGTCCTGCGCTCTCTTGCCCGCCCTTCTCTTGCAGAAAGCGCGCGTCGCCCGTGGAGGCGATCAGACAGATGGCCACCCTCCCATCTGGAGGGCGCCAGGTTGGGACAGGCGGTCCTTTCTATACCTTCCAGCGTCTTTCTCCTCTGCTCTCCAGTATTCCAACAATCCTCTGCTTTTCCTCCCCCATTACCCCTTTCCATCTGGAACTAATTATGCTCCCTGGGAAAGAAACTTTCAGGAAATTCCATCCTCGGGCTGGGTAAACCTTGGGATGGGTGGGAGGGGGGCGGGGATAGAGCGAGAGTCCCTTTCTCAGCAATGCGCTTTCTCTTCTGCCTCCTCCTCCTCCTCCTTTCCACGATCTACATTCTTACTCTGGGTTTCCTGAAAAAGCGTTTCTCTCCACGCAGCCCCCTTTCCATTTTCCAACTGTTGGGTTTGTTTGACCGCCCCGAGCGCTTGCAATTACTCGCCCAAATCTCGGCCTGGCCGCGGGGGGGGGGCTGCTCCTTTAAGAAAAAAGACAGCTAGGGCAAAGCCCCAGGAAAGTGGGCGTGGCTTACGAGACACACCCTCTCGCTTTTAACTGCTGGCTTGCCGGAGCTGCCTGCTGGAAGGCGGTAAGCCGGATCAGAGGCTGGGAGTGACGCTCCAGGTAAGAGCGCGTCGCCGGTATAAAAGACTGGGATTACTGCTCCGGTTTGGGGCGGTGGGGAGGAAAAGGGAATGATAAGAAAGCAGAGGTCAGGAAATGCCCTGGGCTTGGTAAAAGAAAGCCGCTTTCCTAAAATCTTGCCAGATAACGGGATTCTTGGGCTCGTTGGAAGGGGGACGTGGGGTGTAGTGGATTATAGTAGTAACAAGGTGGGATCGCTCCAAGGTGATTACGGATTGGGGAGCGGCACAACCCGAAGGATCCCTTCGCCTGGGGCAGCGCGGACTAGTGGATCGCAACCGAACAAAAGGCAGCCCGTGGCGGAAGGGAGTGGAGCTTTAGCAGCGAGTTCCAGCGGGTAACTGAGAAATCGTGGTTTTTCCTGGGAAAGGCGTAGCTCTGCAGGAATCCCTGGGCTTTGGCGGCGTCCCCCTCGGAGAGGTGAGGTCCAGGTGGGGTGAGGTGGGCTGGGGCATCTAAATACGTGGGATGATGAACTGGGAGCCACCGGAGTGAGCAATGCAAATGCCAGGCGATGAATCAAATCAATCCAAAAGGAATGACAGAAGGCTTGTACAATAAAGGCGAAACAAAGGGTGGAGGGCGTAAAACTGCAGGGGCGCCAGAGCCTTTCCTTCCCCGCCCCTCTCTTGGGCTCGTTCGCGACCAGCCCTCCCTTTCCTTGGACCTTCGAAAGGTGTGATAGCTCGAATCGCCTTTCTTCTGCATGATCTTGGCCCTGCTGGGTAAGGACGATGGGAGCTGTAGTCCCTCTAGGCTCGAGGTCGTTGGGTTAAGAAGCAAGGACGAAGGTATTTGGGAATATCTTGCTCCTGGTGCAAAGCCTCTGCTCCCCCCCCCCAGAACTTGAACATTGTACTATATTGGGGTGTTATTTCCAGCGGCATTGGGTAGGGGGCAGGACTGAGGAAGCGCTGGAAAAATTAAGCTGGGGGGAAAATGGATTAGGGCTCAGAGTAATTTGTTTTATTAGAGGGTGGGGAAGTATATTTCTGCATTTAGAGACTAGAAACTCAGGGCAGCTCAGCCGCTGGGCTTATGTGACTATTGGGGTGCAGAATTGCGGATTTTCCAGTGAACTTTAGTAACAATATGGTACCCTTGAGCTGCCAGATAAAGTCTGCCCTCTTTGGGCTGAGGTCTATATTCCCAGCCGCACCTTTAAAGATCACATGGTAGGAAGGCATGTTTGAAGCATGTTCCTGATCTCTAGGGCAGTGGGAGGGGGCAGGGCACCACAGATCTCCTGCTTGTTACATAAATTGGGTTCTTTTATTGATTCATTTTCCATGTGATTCATTCCCCCCCCCCTTCTTGCATATAAGGAATTGATTTTCTCCCCCTGCTCTGTTTTACAGTTGCTGCTGCCTGTTAGGTCACTGTCACATGAAAATTGGATTAGCCATGTTAGGCATACTGGTCTTGCTTTGTAGCTTCTATTTTTGCCCTAGCCTGGCCTACCTCACCGGGTTGTTGTGGAAAAAAGTGGAAGGAAGCAGCACTGTGTAACTCACCTTGAGCTCCTGAAAGGAGGGTGAAATATAAGTTTGATATATAAATAAATAAATATAAGACTCTTGCTGGATTGTTATCTTGCTGGATTGTTACGGAAGTCCATAGATAGAGTTGGTCACAGTGGCAACAATTTCTCAGTGGAATCTGTATTTGAAGAGCTACTTTTCTTGTATAGGAAGGTTCTATTTAATTACAGCTGGTCCTCAGCTTATGGCCACAATTGAGCACAAAATTTCTGTTGCTATGTTTTGCTCCATTTTATGACCTTTCTTGCCACAGTTAAGTGACTCTATTAAGTTAGTCACCTGGTTGTTAAGTGAATCTGGCTTCCTCTTTGACTTTGCTTGTCAGAAGGTTGCAAAAGGGGATCACATGGCCCCAGGACACTGCAACTGTCATAAATACATGCCAGTTGCCAAGCGTCTGAATTTTGATCATGTGACCATGGAATGTTGCAAAGTCATAAGTGTGGAACTGATCATAAGTCACTTTTTAGTGCGGTTGTAATTTCAGTCTGTACATTGAGGAAGACCTATATTCTAATAATCTGTGGTTTATAGGCAGTCCTCAGGTTACAACTATTAATTTAGTAACCGTTTAAAGTCACAGCAGCATTGAAAAAGGGACTTATGACTGGTCCTCACTGTTATGACCATTGCAGCATCCCCACAGTCATGTGATCAAAATTTGAACACTTGGCATGTACTTAACGATGGTTGCAGTGTCCTGGGATCACGTGATTGCTATTTGCAACTATTGCAGCTGGTTTCTAATGAGCAAAGCTCACGGAGATGGATTTGCTCAACCGTGTGATTCATTTAACAACTGCCGTGATTTGTTTAATATTTGGCATGACTCATTTAACAACCACCTGGCTTAGTAATGGACATTCTATATTTTTTAATAAAGTTTTATTAACTTTTTTTTTAACAGAATTCAATAGTAATCATTCAACAAAATATGTTGCCTGAGTATCTTATTCACTAATACAAATTACATTCCTAATCTCTAAATCTTTTCTCTAACTATGGATAAAATAGGTCCCAAGTTTGAAAATATTCTGTTTCTTCCTTTTCTTTAAACCTTAAAGTAAGTCTGTCCATTTCTGCATAGTCTAGTGTGGAATTATTTAATAATTATTTAATTATTTCTTCTTCTGGTGGTATTTCTTCGTTCTTCCAGTATTGTGCAAATATAATTTTTGCCGCTGCTATCACGTATAGAATCAAATATGTACTTTGCTTATCACGTTTTTCTGACATTAGACCTAGTTAAAAAAAATACAGTATCAGGTTTATAGTCTATGTGTTTCTCTAACATTTTTTTCTAACCAGGTGTGAATTTTTGTCCAATATCTCCTTGCTTTAACACATGTCCACTACATATGATAATAAGTACCTGGCTTATGCTTACATTTCCAATATTTCTCTGACATATTTTTAAACATTTTTGCTAATCTTGTTGGTGGCAAGTGCCATCTGTAAAACATTTTGTATAGGTTTTCTTGATAGGAGGCTCCTGTAAAGCAATGGACATTCTAGTGCCAATTGTGATTATAAGTCGAGGACTATCTGTGTATCTCAATGTCTAGCACATCCTGTGACGCCCTTTTGGCCAACACCTTAGCATGGTCCCCTTATGTTTTGGGTTGGAGTAATTGGGACTAAGTGAAACTGAGTTCTCAAGAGTAACGTGGTGAAACAGGCCATGTAGCTTGCTGCTCATAAAAGGCCATCTCAGGGCATGCTTTGTAAACTGCAGGGAGCATGGAGCTGAATTTCAATATACTGACTGCTCCACCAGATTCTCACCCTGGCTTACTACCAATGTCATAGGCAGAACGTTTCAGGAGAAAATCTTTAGCTAACCCAAATTCAGCCTTTAGCTTTTAATTAGAGATGCCAAACCACTTTCAGAAAAGTGCTGCTGTTTAGTACCCAGCAGGGAAAAAGAAACAAGACGTTAACCTTTGGCACAAACCAAGAGCAACAAAATTTGAAAACCTATTTATCCCTTTACTTGCCACCGCAAAGGGTTTCTCTAGTGTAGGACGGATAACATCTGCCCCCTTAAAAATAATGCTGGCTGGGATCTGGTGGAATATGTGTGGTTGCCTAGAACAATGGTTCTCAACCTTTTTAATGCCGCGACCCCCCAATCGGTCGTAAGTTGAGGACTACTCAACCGGTCGTAAGTTGAGGACTACTCAACTGGTGCAGCACCGTTTGCAGAATGGGACTTTTGGTGGGCTCAGCAGGGCAGAGACAGCCTGGACAATTCCTATTGGCTTTTGAAAGCCAATAGAATTATACTCTATTCAATAGAGTCTATTCTATTGGCTTTCAAAAGCCAATAGAATAAAAGGGAGTAGCACAGCTAAGGAAAAGGGGAAAAAAAATGGCGGACTGCGTTGTTTGGCGACCCCCATGAAATGGTCGTTCGACCCCAAATGGGGTCCCGACCCACAGGTTGAGAACCACTGGCCTAGAAGAAAAAGCTCCTCAGTTCTGTATTCTCAGTTCAGTCCAAAATGATCCCATCCCAGGACCTATTGGATGAAACTCTGCACCTGGCCTTGTGTGGTAATATTGCTGTTTTTTTGCACAATCACTTCAGTTTGTGAACCTCCAATACAATATCTGTGATCTCTTCTGTGTATACAGATGGGAACTAGATGGCCCATAACTTTCCTGCATATCTACAAGAGCAGATACAGGGAAGTCCTCGACTTATAATAGTTCTTTTAATGACTGTTCAAAGCTACAATGACCCTGAAAAAAGTGACGTATGACCATTTTTCACGCTTAAAACCATTGCAACATCCCCACGGTGATGTGATCAAAATACAGATGCTTGACAACTGACTCATATTTATGACTGACTCGTACGTATGACTGTTGCAGTGTCCTGGTGTGATGGGGTCCCCTTTTGCAACCTTCTGACAAGCAGAGTCAATGGGGAAGCCAGATTCATTTTAACAACCGTGTTATTAACTTAACAACTCCATTGATTCACTTAACAACTGTGGCAAGAAAGGTTGTAAAATGGGGCGAATTTACTTAGCAAATGCCTCACTTAGCAACATAAACGTTGGGCTCCGTTTGGATTCCTATTATCCCGTATTTGCAACTGCAGCTGATAAGCTCATTAAGACCGTGCACCCCAAAATGAGCTTAGGGTAATTCTGCATTATACATTTGGTGAATAGGAGATGGCTATTTTGGCAAATAAACCAAAACTATAGCCTGTCTTTTATAACCATTACTTTAGTGACCATCCAAAGTTACAATAGTACTGAAAAAAAGTGCCTTACAATTGGTCATTGCACTTACAACCATGAGAGCAGAGTTCCCCAACATTTCTGGCTTTGTCGACTGGTGGGGGGGGGGCAGGGAGAGGTCACGGTTCCATGAGAGCTGCCATCAAGTGTGCATAAAATGCAGTGTGCGCCTGCCGCTCACTTAAATGGAGTGTGCACCCGCTGCTCGTGTAACTGAGGACGTGCATGGCCCAGTTGCAAGCCCCTCACAGCCCCAAGTGGGCCACAGCCCACAGGTTGGGGACCCCTGCATTAGAGCATCCTCACAGTGACATGATCAAAATTCAAGCACTTGGCAACATGCAAGTATTCATGACATTGCGGCATCCTGGGGTCATATAATTGCCATTTGTGGCTGTCCCAGCAGGCTTCCAACAAGCAAAGTCAATAAGGAAGCCATATTTGCTTAATGACTATGTGATTCACTTAACAACTGCAGTGATTTGCTTAACAACCATCGGGGAAAAAGGTCTAAAATCAGGGCTAACTCATTTAATAACCGCTTTGCTTAGCCACAGAAATCCTGGTCCCAATTGTGATCATAAGTCGAGGACTACCTATACATTCAGCTTCTGCATCTGCAAAG